TTTAGAGAGATTTGAAGTTTATTTTCAAGGTGTTTTCTACTTGTTTTTAATAATATTTTGTTTATGATTGTTAATAACTAATTTTCGTTTGCTAGGGTGAGGCCACGAGCCTTAGCAAGAATATGTAGTTTCTTTTCAATTTGTTTATGATATTATGCATATAGGTTTTGAACTATTAATCACCGGTTTATACTGTCTAATTGTCTTAATGCTTAGCTACCATTAAGATTTTTAGAAAAGTAATTTGATGCAATTTTGGTTGGAGGTCGGTCCCTGAAATTGACGAAGGCTTCTTGTGATTAATATGTGCAAGTTCACTTAGGATGAATACCACATCTTAAGGGTTGTATGATTTTTCAAAAGGTTTCACAAAACTAAATGAGTTATGCATGTTTAGATTTGATTTGAATACTACAGATGGGTTGCATATTTGATATACGCTCTATGTTAGGGGTCCAAGTAGGCATATATTAACTAACCTTTGAAATATGCATGTGTAATTCATAAGTAATTGGAAGAACTACATAGGATTGTTAAGGTGACGGTGAAACCCTAGGTTTTTACAATTTAATTTTCAAAAACCGTTTTCTTTTAGTTTATTTTATTTTGTCACTTTATTTAATTATTTTCTATTAAATTCGTTTTTATTATTTAAATCACAAAATCAACTTTTTCTCAAACTTTGTTTTAAATAATTAATTAAGATTTGATTTAACATAAATTATTCATTTAATCCTTGAGGAGAACGACTTTGCCAGAGCATCTATACTACAATTACCTTGTACTCTTGCAAGTATTTTAGTGTTTTTATTCCTACTTTTGCAGGTGATAAAATCCCTATTATAAATTTCAAAGGGAGAAAAAAGAAGAAAATTTTGAATTGGTCTTTCATCTAACACTTAAGGTGCAGTCCAAAGAACAAGAGGGAGAAATTTCTACAAATATTACATTGGCGATGTTCACCAAATAGTTTCGAGCAAATGAGGTTTGAGTTCTTGTCAAAGTGCCTTTGTTATAAGCAAAAAAGATTAGACACAAGCAAAATATTTGGAGACCTATTAACAAAAAAGAAAAGCAACAACTAGAGTGGGAGAGTCAGAGTTGAGACGTCTCTTCAAGAAACCAATTCATTGGGTTAACATACTATTCATAATGAAATTATTGAGTTTAAAGCATCGCCAAGACCAAAGGTTACGTTACATTTTATTGTTCATACTTGAAAGCATCACTTGAGGTTGCATATGTGTTTAATCCTCCTATAATGATTGAACTTCTTATTTAGTGTGATTGTTACACATGATTAACATGCGGCAGGAAGACTGAGGCGTTTAAATCTTGAGGAAGCCCTTCTCCATGAGGCTTTCAATAGTGTCCCTCAGACTTGTTTCCAGAGGAAGGAAAGTGATTCCCAAACCTTTTGCTTTCTCCTTGGACACTCGATACTTTGAGTCGGAAGGATTGACAACTTCAGCAAGGGTCAAAGTCGGGCAAATTTGCCGTAAAATCTTTAGAGTATCATGGTCATCAGCAACTTGGCCAACTAAACAATATCTCCCACTAGCTGAAGGAATTTCGAAAGCTTGAATATGAGCAGAGGCAACATCTCTAACATCAACAAATGTATTAACATCAAGTGTTTGGGTACCTGAGCAAGAAGGAGAAACAAAACACAATCAATTGCTTGCATCACGAGTCAAGGACAACTGTTTAAACACGAAGGGACCGATTGATGACGTTCATCTTGCTATTAACCCAAGAAGTAATTGAGTTACTGAAATATACCCCTCATGATGTTCTGAAGCAGCTCGACGGAGACATTAAGTGTTGGTTGTAAGAGTGGACCAATCGTATGCCCTGGATTCAACGACACCAAGTCGATCCCATTTCCTCTAGCAAATTTCCAGGCAGTGTCCTCGGCTAAAGTTTTTGAGAGAAAATACCATTGCTGAACAAAGGAACAAGGAAGTTCATATAAGCTTGCAGTTCATGCTAACCTAACAAGATTAGATTATTCTCCCTACTGACATTGAAACATCACAGGTTAACAACGAATGAAATGCAAAACTTAAAGAAATATAATACGGGAACATTTGTACATGCCTTGTGCTTCTCACAAAAAAGTGGATCCGAATACCATGTTTCATCCAAAACTGCATCAGAGGTCAGAGGGACTCCAGTCATCATTACTGAAGCAATTGAAGATGTTAAAACCACTCGCTTGATACTGGGAAATTTCGCGCATGATTGTAGAACATTAAGTGTTCCCTTCACTGCAGGGTCAAGTAGTTCTCCCTAAAATAGTTCCAGTTTTAACATCAAAATTCTGGAAAGCCAAACAATGCTTTAGACTTTTCAGATTTCTTTTTTCCGGACTATTCGATCATAAAGGGCGACAAACCTGAGGGTCAGTAACTGAAAGCAGTACAGGGGACGCTGTATGAAAAACACCTTGGCATCCATCAACTACGGCGTCGAAAGACCCTTCTTCTAATAAATCTGCTTTGAACAAATGAAACCTTTCTTTGGCTCCGTCTAATGAGCGCAAGTGTTCTGTTTTCTTTGAATCATCTGCATGCATATACAAACAGAAATAGTGATTAGTGAACTGAATAAATTTACACACAAAATAAGCACACATATGACAAACATCGACTGCACTAGGGAGATTTAAGTGGGCAATTAAGTTGCCCAAAAATAGATTAACATGTTCGTCTTTTGGTACCGGTAGTATTATTTTAACAAAATTTCCAAATTAAAAATCAATTAGTTTAAGAGTAGGGCTATATATGAACAAAAAAGATACTACTTCTGAAATATACCATAACTTCCATTCAGTTCATGCCGCAATTCAAACTAATTAGAGGGGGGAGGGGGAAATGCTCGTTTTCTTTCTAGTTTTTTTAGAGGAAAATTTACATTAAACTATGAGGAGGAGGATTTGAACACAGGCTTGGATGCAAGGGCGAATGCTCTTAATCTACTGAATTACATGCCAATGGCCTCATTTTCTTTCTAATTACAATTAGTTTCTTAAGCAATGAGAAGCAGAAATGCCAAGTTAGTATACCAATTTATTTTTACTAACCCAAAACTATAAATTGTTAACATACAAAACTTGACATCCCAACAAAAGCACTGCTGCAAGTCCAGTCCTTTTGCATAAAAGTTTTGGATTCCAAGAACCACAATATATGAGCAAGTTAAGAAATACTGACTTGGGTCACGAACAGTTCCTTTGACAGTATAACCCTTTTGCAATAAGAGCTTCACCAACCATGATGCTATGTAACCTGAGGCTCCTGTTACGCACACAGTCTTCCCTTCTACAGTACTCATCTCTCTCTCTCTCTCTCTCTCTCTAAGCTTGATTGTTAGTTTTTAATGGGATGATCATTTTGGCACTCATGGTCCACCACTCATTTTTTTGGCACTATCCTCCACCACTTATTTGAGGTGTTCATGATGAGGTAATTTAAGACGATTTTTGGAGTGTATAATTAGCACACTAAACTTTAAAACCTACTGCAGTCTTGTGATATTTATGTGAGAGATCTTGGTCTAAATCTCGTTAATAACGATTCAATACCAATTTAGTTTTCCAATTGAAGATCCTGAACTACATCTAGCTTATTATTCAAAGAAATCCGCTTTGGCCTTCCTTCTAGAGAGTGAGTAAGGGCAATTTGAACATTTAGAGCATTTCCAGCAGTTCCCAATTGCGCTTGTAATTGGGTAAAACTGCCTTCTTGCCCAAAGAAACTTTGCTCCACCGTTGGAAAAATAAGAGGCCTATTGGGGGAAAGGCATATACCCATCCAGCCGCCAAGTTCAAAAACCCTGTCGTGGCACAATCTTGGCATTCCATTGGTTATAATGTTGAAATCAATAGTCAAGATTATTCTAATAATAAAAAATTCAAAAAATTACTAATAATGGTTTTATATAACTCAATATTCTTCATTTTTTACGCTACAACTCAATATTTATTTTTACGACAATCTCTTATATTTATTCTCTACCTTCGAAATATTTATTTGAATTAGATTTTATTTAAGAAATAATGACATGTGAGAACAAGGCCAAGAAAACATAAATAAATAAAATAAAAAATATATTTACAAAAGTAATCACATAATGAGGGACGATGATACAGGCCCGAGAGACCCACTTTATTAAACCAATAGTAATCACCAACTCGGTAATTGGAGGTTTTATCACGAAAATAAATCTCAATGGTGGTTGTAGTGAGGTAAAACTATTTGAAGTTCTTATTTTTCTTTTAGCCCACCGATGTGGGATAGCCAACGGATGTTGTTAGAAAGCGTCAACCAAATATATGCAAGATTGTCTGTGGAACAAATAACAAATAGGCAAGAGACAAAGGGGAAAAGAAATCTCAACTTGCAAAGATATCAATAGTGCCTTAATTAAGATTTCTTAAAGACAGTGGAGGATAACAATTTCAACTTGAAATTTGTCATTTAGAGTTAAATTGAAATAATACAAATAACACATGAGCCATAAATTAATTAAAGATCTAAAAGCAACTTCTGAGCATTTGCCTACGGAATACATTTAAAGTATTTTACGGGAAAAATATAATGCCCAGCATCTATTGGGATACTTCAGCATAAAACCAACTTCACTTCCCAATTAGTTGATCGAGCACTCGTGTAACAAATTGCTGCAAGTAGTAGAATTCAAATGTTGAGGAAGCCCTTCTCCTTGAGGCTTTCAACGGTGTCTCTGAGACTCGCCAGAGGGAAGTGATTCCCAAACCTCTTGCTTTCTCTATGGACACTTGAAACTTCGAGTCAGGAGGATTGCCGAAGTCCGGAAGGCACAATGTGGGGTAAAGTTGTAAAAAGTGTGAAACCGGTGCAGATTTCCTTACCCCCTTTGTATACTCAAAAAAAGCTCAAATGAGAGAAATACCTGGAGACTTCCTTGGTAAAGTACCAAAGAAATGCTAGTAACAGAAAGAAAAGCAACAACTGAAGTGGGAGAGTCCAAGCCGAAAAGACGGCTCTTAAAGACACCAATTATTTGGTTTAACATAATATTCTCAGTAAAATGAGTTTTAGTGTCTCCGAATAACAATGGCTAGCACTTTCTCCAGACCAAATACTTTACATTTATTTCACAAACTTTGAAGTATGACGGAAAGCATCCCTACAGTAACATTTATGAGCAGATTGGCATGATAATATACAAGTACATATGTCATGATTATTAACGTAATTGCTCAACATGGACGAGTTCCATGATTAGAAGAAGTTCTTCTGCTTCAAACTTTCAACGGCGTCCTTCAAAGTCACCTCCAGAGGAGTACACACAACACCCAAAGTCTCAGCTCTTTCCTTGGATATATGGTAAGTTGGTGCGAAAGGTTGATCATCTGCACATCTGCCCAGAATGGACACATAAATTGGTTAATCTTCAACATTGGAAACTCGTGTCCAAGTATTCTGTGTTGGGAAATCAAGAGATGGTGAACAAATTTACACTACTGTACACTATCTGATTCTTTAGCACGCCATTTACTTTCAGGATCGATATTTGGGTTCGGAAATTCAAAAATTTAAACCATTCAAATAGCTTATTCAGACCTTGAAGACTCAGAAATCATCCAAAACAACAGAAAACGAAAAGAGCCATGAATCCCTTTCACAAAACTAGGTCTCTAGTGATAACCTACCTTGACCCAACTCCATCCATCTCAAAATACCTAATATATGCTAATTAAGATATTCTCAAAAGGAAAAGCCACAGAACAGGACCCTAGAGTGCATAAGTAAACCCACATTATCCTTAGAAGTGCCTCTAACAGGCGTATAATTAAGATGCAATAATGTGGCTATGTTTAGCAACTTACTTTTCCGGAAGACTGAGAGCAGGGAAGAGATCACGCAGAATTTTAACAGCCACAGAATAGTGTGCTACACTTCCAACTATAGAATACCTCCCACTAGCTGAAGGATTCTCAAAGGCTACAATATGTGCATTAGCAATATCTCTAACATCAACCCATCTGTGAGTTACATTCGGAAATTTTCCTGTTCCTGCATAAATGATACATTAGGAACAATAAATTTTCATAGATTTAAGTTTTCACAGAAAGAGTAGCATATTGATGACACTTGAATACAGAAGAGACCGCAATTGATGAGCTCAATAAAGTCCCAATCCCAAACAATCATAAACGATCTGTGCAAGAATAGCACTGGTTAAATGCAAGTCCTCTACTTTGAATAATGCAGAAGTTCTGGCAAAGCAACAGTACCTTTGCTATGAAAACTAAAAATGATGAAATCAATTATCTGAGATTCGTAAGTTACCAAAGAATTATGGATACGAACACACTACAAGACATGGTCTACAATATGGTACTGGATATGCAGATCCAGCGATTAAAAGCATGGTATATGATACCGCAGATATGTGCTACAATAATATTTCATATGCCTTATAGCTTTTCTGTTATATGGTCAAATATCTATTGTTGAAACCTGAAGAACTCAAGCATGCAAGCCTTCAAATGTCATTCTTATTTTCAGTAAGAGTAAACTAGGTTTCCCAACTTCAGGTAAACACAGTGTTTTAAGATTTCTTATAACTACAAACTTAGTGCCTCTTTCCTGACTATGCTCATCTCATAGTATTTGAGGTGTAATTAGAACTGTCAGCAAAGACAAAACTAGCAACTATGCTCCTAAAATTTCGTGTCTAAAGATTTTATTCTACTTCCATAAGCGTACCATCAAAGAGTTTCAGAAGTGGCTCCGAGCTTGAGTTCAGAGTTGGCTGTAAAAGAGGGCCAATCGCCATCCCTGGATTTAATGCAACTAAATCGATTCCATTCTCCTTCGCAAACTTCCAAGCAGCTTCCTCAGCTAAGGTTTTTGAAAGTGCATACCAAAGCTGATGAAAACCAAAGACTTGATAAGAACAATTAATGCATTTTTTTAAAGAATGAACGCAATCAGATCTAAATCTTATGATTCTTACCACAAAATTACAACAGGTATGTCAACCAGACCAAGATAAGGAAACCAACATGTGAGCATGAATTGTGTAACCATATATAATTAGTAATCGTCTTTCAGTTTACATCCACCGGTTGACAAGACATGTTTAAAGCGTCGTAAAAGTTGCTCACAATCAAACTTATAAGAGAGAGAAATAACAACTGAGACATCTTTAGAACAAGGATAAGCACAAGCGACTTCTGCAGAGTATGTAAACAATAATCATTGAGAACAGAGACAGAAAAGAAAAACCCCAGGAAAGACGAGTTCTTATATTATTGCACGAAACTGGAAGCTAGCTGGACTCTCAGATTCCCATTATATAAACCTAGATCTTCAAGTGAAGCATTCCTGACTAACGTATGAAAGAGATAAGTCTGTCATAAAACTAAATGAGCGTATGTAACGTACAAACCTTTGCTTTTTCACAGAAAGCTGGATCAGAAAACCAAGATTCATCAACTACTGTATCAGCAGAGAGAGGCTTTCCGGTAAATACAATTGATACAATGGAGGATGTTAGAACCACCCTTTTGATAGACGGAAATTTCGCGCATGATCTGAGGACATTCAGTGTTCCCTTCACAGCAGGGTCAATTAGTTCTGCCTGACAAGATATTAAACTACAATATTTTAGGGTCTGAATTTTAGAATGTAACGGATTATATAAACAAACAGCTCGAGATGCAAAACTTAGGTTCATGCCGCATGTACCAAAGCTCTAACATAGTAACAATGAAAGTGAAGAGATTACCTGTGGGTCAGTGACTGACATTAGGACAGGTGACGCCATATGAAAAACTCCTTCGCATCCATCAATGACAGCGTCAAAAGATCCTTCCTCCAATAAATCTGCTTTGAACAAATGAAGCCTTTCTTTTGCTCCATCTAGTGAGAGCAAGTGTTGTGTTTTCTTTGGATCAACTGTGACAATACACAAATAGAACTAATCAGCTGACTTACGAATACAACAAGTTCCAAGAATTAAAACGTTCCCCTACTCTTCTTTATCAACCATAGCTATTGTGGGAGCGAGGTGGAAGAAATGTATATGCAACGGCGTTATCGCTATCCCTTTTTATTGGTTACGAACTTGTTTGTTCCTAAAATTGGCAAATTTCACTCATTTGGGACTAAAGCCAAATTATGGCATTTTGTGGGGATATTGTGAAATTAGGCTAGACTTGCATCAAGTGGCACATATTAGGCTTACAGATATCATGTGACACCCATAATTATATGATACATATATATATATATGTTTGTAGATATTTCTTATGCACGTGATTTGGACGATGGAATGCGTCAAATGACTTATTTTGATATCATTCCCTAATTTCTTGATCAAGTAAATCTCAGCTTGCCCGCCCATTACAAATTTAGGGGGTGAACAAATTTAAAATGCCCAATGGGACCCTTATCTAGAGTAAGATCTCTCTCTTTTGCCCGAAGGGCTTCACCCAGTTTGCCCCAAAGGCCCTTTTCCAAGTTGCCGGATTGGGCTGCTTCCACTTTAGCTTGCTCGACTTGGGCTTTTTCCTTCTTTTGCCTGAATGAGCTACTTCAGAGCTCAATTGGAGAAAAGAACCCCTCGTCTATTAATTTGTTGCAGTCATCGATTTCTTGGTTGTGAAATCCCATTGGAGTTGCAGCTTAAGTCTTTTTTTTTTCTTTTTTTTTTTAATAGTACTGCGTTTGAAGTGTTTTTCGCTAATATATGAAGTTATCGAGGACTTACATAAGAAAACTCAAAAATAAACACCGAGCTGAACTGAAACCCAGAAACTTGAAATACAACAATTTGATGAAGCAAGCTAAGTGAAAAAACAAACAAATTAATTAAATATCATATATACATACATGTATATATGTATGTATGTATGTATGTATACTTACTTGGGTCACGAACAGTGGCTTTGACAGTATAACCCTTTTGCAGTAGGAACTTCACCACCCATGACGCTATGAACCCGGATGCTCCTGTTACACAAACCACTTTACTTCCTCCGCTCATCCTCTCTCTCTCTCTCTCTCTCTCTCTCTCTCTCTCTCTCTCTCTCTCAGAAAGTGAAGGCCTTGCAGTTGCCGGTCGGTGCTTTTATATGTTGTCAATTTATTGCTCTTGCTTTCTTTTTATTTTTTATTTTTTTTGCCTTAGTGTTTGATTCGGTCAAGTTTTTCGTTTTTTTCTTAGTCTTTAATTTCAGTCATTGATTTTAGTCTTTCTTTCTTTATTCTGTCTCATTTTCTTGCAATACTACCGTCATCACAACTAAATTTCTACTTAGAAAAACGAACCAATAATGGAAACAAAGTAACTCAATCTTCAAGTTCAAACTCTTGCATATGTATTTTTTAGGGTCACAGACTCTGTTTTAACATCATTTGACTAGGAGCTTAAAAGTAAGTTACCACATTATTTGATACCGAGACTGCGTGAGGAGACGGATTAGTGGCATCCTATATTAAAAAAAATTGATTGAGACAAAGTACTTTTGATTGGAGCGCTTGTTTATGCATAATTACGAATTCTTACTTAATTTCCCAGCACCCTCCTGTTGACCGTTAGTTTATAGTTTTGCAAAAATTGAAACTTCTGATTTTTCTTACCAGCATTTGTCCTCTGCCGCCCCTCTTCTCCTCGTTCTCAGTTGCGTTTGATTTCGTAAGCAATTTAAGGACAATTTTGAATTTTTTATTATTTAACTGACTTCAAATCGCAATCCAAAACTTATTTAAGTCGTTAATAATACTGCTTGTTGACGCACCAAAATTTTGCTCAATCTTACCAAGCCATGAGTCAAAACCAACCATAGATTTTGGACTTGAGGTGTCGATATGTTCGGGATGCCACTACCAAGTTAAAAGCTCGCAGTAACTCAAACGCAATTGAAAACATAAGCAGGAAAATATAAAATATACATATAGGCTGTAGTAGTATATTATGGATTCATTTAAGTGTTTTTAAATTGATTGATAACGCTTTTGGTGAAGGTGTTTTTGTGTTTCCAAACCCACTTGAAATGCTTATTACATGACGCACTTCAAATTCTTTTCTATTACTGAGGATTGGTTCTAAACACACTTCCATAAAAGCTATTTGTTATATTAAGGTACTTCCAAATGAGCCCTATAACCTTATTGCCTAATCCTTCTTTATTTTTGTTAAATTACATTATGAAAACAATGAAACTTACACAATTTACAATTTTAAAAGGAGAAGAATTTTCTTCCCTACTATTACTATCTCCCTCCCTCCCCTTCCCTCCCCTCACACATTTTTTTTCTTTTTGCCCATATAAAAAATTCAAAATGAGACGTTAACGTGGATTAATCATAATCATTTAAATAAGAGAAAAGATAAGATAAGAGAAATTCAGAATGAAGAGAATCCTACACCATTTTAAAACATTAAAATTCGATTTCTAGTTTATATAGATAAGCATATTCGGACAACTTGAGCCAAGGAGCAGACAAACTTGGACACCAAGTCAATGCCGCCATGCCGGCTACAAAGAAGTTGACAACATTGGACACCAGCTTATACAAACTTAATATAAGTTCAATTCTTTGAGCCAGTAGTAAGAATAGTCCAGTTTATTAAAATAAATCCAATTTGTTATATTTTATTATTTAATTATCAATAGTTATCTGTTCAATGATAAGATTTATTATAAAAATCAAATTTCTTCCCAATTATCTCTCTGCTTATTTCTTTTTATTTATCTTTTTGTTATTTTTCGTTCTTCCTCCTACTTTAAACCCCATTTATAGATTTTATTTTTAATTTTTATAATCAACCTATATCACAGGTTAATTATGTTTATCTACCTATATGATAGATTCTTTTTTTATAATCAACCTATACAGATTAATGTGTCTTGCTTTTAGGTATGTTATGTATTTTTCTACCTTTTAATTAGGTTTCATATCTCACATATAGGTATTATATACATTCATATATTTATTACTTGAGTTAGGGTAGAATGTTTTGCAGATAAATTTATGTTAGTATATTAGTTTTTTTGTTATAAGATATTAAATATATTCTTTGGAGTTGGAAAATGCATAATATTAAAATATTTTAATTATATTTTTAGAAAATATAAGATGAGTATAAAAGAAATAAAAACATATAATTAGATAACTTGACTCACTCCTAAAAACACTCTACGTTTTTGAACCTGGATCTAAAAGCCCCCAAAAACTAATGCAATAATGGAAAAACAAATGTGTCTGGGAGCGTTTGTTTCTGCATATATATTTATGAATTGACTAGTTTATGTGGAAAAGTTTTGAATTTAAATTAATTTCCCAACACACCTGTTACATTAGAGTTTGACAAACTTGTTTAATTTTTCTCACCACCATTTGTTGACGTGCAAATAAGTTAAGAGTCGAAGACAGCCCAGGCCAAACGTTGCCGCACTTGGATTGCTTCGAGTCCCTGTATTGTCTTCCAACTCAGAGTGGTTGAGTTGGGATTCTACGTATACCTTTTCGACTTGGGATGTCGGACTGTTTAGGATCCAATACAAAGTTCGAACTTCAAGTTTCGCGGTAACTAAAACGCAGTTGAAACAAATTCCAAAGTACAATCAAACTTCATAGAAAGGGGTCTCGTGCAAGAGTTTTGTGAAGCGCCCATTATTTTCTGTAACGTATTCTTACGTAGTTGATAAAACGGGATTTGATGTTGCAACGATAGGTCCAATGTGATCCATGATCAGAAGAAGTTCTTCTCCTTCAAACTTTCCACGGTATCCTTCAAAGTCACCTCCAGAGGAGTAAACTTAACTCCCAAACTTTGGGCTCTTTCATTGGATACCTGGTAAGTTGGTGTGAATGGTTTGTCATCTGCACATCTGTGAAGAACACAGAGACGTTAGTTTTTTACTCCCGGACTTTAAATCTCAAGTCCAAATTATCCGTCACACAAATTAGCAACTACGAAGAATATGGACAGTATTAGCATAGCAACTTACTCCTCTGGAAGCTTGAGAGCAGGGAAGAGATCCCGCAGAATATTCACGGTGTCAGAACAGTGTATTACTCTTCCAACTAGACAATATCTCCCACTTGCTGAAGCATTCTCAAGGGCGAGAATATGAGCAGTAGCAACATCTCTAACATCAACCCATCTATAAGTTGTATTTGGAAATCTTTCAGCTCCTGCATAAATTAAATATCAGCAATGAGAATTTGTTAGCAGATTGTAGGGTTTCACAGAAAGCATGAGATCCAAACATGACCTTTTAGTTTATGATCACTCAATAGTAAATACTCCTCCATGACACCCTCTCTTTTACAAGAAACCAATTCGCCATAGTCTATTTCTCATATATACTAAGGAATACATTACCCGTGTGAGTGACATGTCAACATAGTAGTTACATGTTGACCATGATGCCCCCAAACCATTATCCAAGATGTGCTTAAGGATCAGTGCTTATCTAAGGAACATAATTCCATAACTATTAGCAATTGGAGGCACGGATTTAAAGTCCACTCGTCTGTACAGAATGCAGAAGTTCAAGTAGAACGAGTAAATCTCTAAACTCATGATATTTCATAAATCCCAATGAGGAGAGTGTTCTGCACTGAAGGTTTAGTCGAAAAAGTGTAATCTGTGTACTATGCAGCTTCTCTTATGTACTAGATCCTGCCCTCAAGGTTCTCCAGTAGGAATGATTACTTGATAAAATCATGCAATATATTAATGAGTAATGAAATTTTATAGATCCTGGCTCAGGAGTACCATTGATGAGTTTCAGAACAGGTTCCACGCTTGTGTTCAGAGTTGGCTGTAAGAGAGGACCAGTCACCAATCCTGGATTTATTGTAACGATGTCGATTCCATTCTCTTTCGCAAACTTCCAAGCAGCTTCCTCAGCCAACGTCTTTGAAATCATATACCAAAGCTGATGAAGGAAAAGTCTTAGGAAACAAAATGAACATGCATTTAAAGGATGAAGCATGATAAGCTGAAAGTGATTTCTGCAGGTGTGAATAACTATAAGAACAGGAAAAAAAAAACCAGATAAAGGTGAACACGCATAAAAAAATAGAGTTGGTAGAGATATGTATGAACAAGACTGGATGTCAAGTGCAAATTAATATCGTATGATGTTCTATTATGTTAACCAGTTAAGTCTTCGTAGTAATGTTCACAGAGAACCTATCAATGAGAAATTTTTTGTCATAAAATTAGAATGAGAAGTGCACAAACCTTTGATTTTTCACAAACAGCTACATCTGAAAACCAAGATTCATCAACTACTACATCAGGAGCAAGAGGTTTTCCATTAAATGCAACTGCTGCCATGGAGGACGTTATTACCACCCTTTTGATAGACGGAACCTTGGCGCACGATCTAAGGACATTAAGAGTTCCCTTCAAAGCAGGGTCAATAAGTTCCGCCTGACACAAGAAAACATTAAAACCAGCAGCTTATCGTGTCTTAATTTAAGAATTTGCTAACAAGGTATAATTCAAAGAAGGTAGTTAGAATCCAGCGACCTTTTAGCATCATCAAATGAACTTTGAAGGCAATAATTTTATACTAATGAATCCATGAAAGAGATACTTCCAGAAGAAAAAGCATGGCATAGAACATCAAGGCATCATAAACTTTCAGTAAATCCAGCAAGAATGCAACATAATTGGTAAATCATATGCAGACATATCACGACTGATGGTTACGCAATGGAGCAATTAAAGTGACACAGGATGTACCTGTGGGTCGCTGACATTGTGATAAAACGGAGAAGCTGTATGAAAAACACCTTCACTGCCCTCAACTAGGGAATCAAAAGAGCCCTCTTCCAGTAGGTCTGCTTTGAATAGTTGAAGCCTCTCCTTAGCTCCATCTAGCGCAAGCAAGTGTGCTGTTTTCTTCTTATCATCTGCGGTATAAACCATAAAAACTATAACTTAACAAATGACTCATTTGATGCCCATTTCAACACTCCCAATCCACTACCTTTTTGTAATCACCAAATTTACCAGTTTACATCTATGGATCGTCGCAAAGCGCTCAAGTTTCTTCCTTCTATGATGAAGAAACCGGTTATTGATCTAGTCTTGAGGGTTAGTTTGACACTATCAATACTTAGTTTAAGTCCTTAAACTGGATCAACCTGGTCAAGTAATCAAGTTACCAAGGTCCTAAATTCCTAAATCACACAAAACCATACTGATCAAATTAATTAACCTCAGCAACACACACAAAATTTCTAGGAATTTACAAACTTTAGCGAAAATATTCAAAAGAAAATTAGCAAAATACACAAACCCAAAACACAGATTAGTTTAATCACACATCAAGCCTCATACATTTTTCCAAAAAAGAAGAATTAAATAATCAAATTAATCGAAAAGAAAACGAAGAAGTGGGGATTAAAACTATCAAATAAATAAGTATTTTACAATTAAAGATAAATTAACCAATTGAAGAAGTGAAGTAAGAGCGGTAAGTGATGACTGACTTGGGTCGCGAACTGAGGCTTTGACCGTATACCCACGCTGCAGCAACAGCTTCACCAGCCATGATGCTATGTAACCGGACGCTCCAGTTACACTCACCACCTTTGTTGCTCTGGTGTCACTCATCCTCTCTCTCTCCTCTTCTGTGTAAAAAGATAATCTTATACGGAATGATCGTTTTCTGCTAATTTTACTGAACTAGTCCAACCTAACTGTACCAATTGTTTGTAAAAGTATATACTGTTGGCGATAAAATAATATTCCAAGAAATTTTTACCTCGTCTTCTCTCTTTCTATTTATGTTTACGGTACGTTTAGGTTTGGATATCTAACCCACAATTTTCATGACACGATGGAAATGTGACACTCTCTGCCTTCTATGTTCATCATCCTCATCCTCTTCCATTGCAAAAGCCTCATCTCCATCTTCCTCGAGATTGAAGAATTCTTCTTGTTGTGCCAACAATTTTTTCGGTTGTTCATCGATTTCATATAATCTCTTTGAAGAAGACATTGTAAGAACTCAAAATTTAAAAACGATGAAGAAGGATTATGAGCTAAAGGATTGAGTTTGGTGCATGTAGGGTTTATATAGACAAAAAAAAAAAGAAAGGATGAGGTTCTGGATAATGCCACATGGCATTACGTGATGGTTTGAAAATCTTATTGAAATCTTGACTAAATTATTGTAAATAGATAGTGACACGTAACGCGTCGGAATTAGTGTAAAATCTTATCGAAAATCTATCCAAAAAATAGTATTTTCGGATAATGACACGTGGCGTGACAAGATTGGTTGAAAATCTTATTGAAATCTTGACTAAATTATTGTAAACCGATAGTGACACGTGGAGCATCGGGATTGGTTAAAAATCTTATCGAAAATATATCTACAAAATAGTACTTTCAGATAATGACACGTGGCGTAACAAGATTAGTTAAAAATCCTATCCGAAATTAAAACTAATTTTTTTATTATTTTGTAAAAAATTAATAATATTTTAATGGGCTAGGTGCTAGCGCATTTTTTAGAGATGAAGATACATTTGGCTAGTCAATTACTATTCATTTGAGTGGATTAAATGAGTTGGGTGGCAGCGCATTTTTAGGGATGGACTTGCTCTAAAGAGAATGACTTAGCTCTTTTTGTGTTTAAGTGAGTGAGCGGAATGTTTTATTTTACATGCGATGGAAAATCTTGTTTCACCTTGATGTAAAATGTTTAAATTCCGCTTTCTATAGTTTACCCTAGTATATACTCACACACAAAGTGTGTGAAATTTTTTATTTTGGTTGTTAAAATTGAAGGAGAGAGGAAGAGAGTGAGGAGGGAGGGAGAGAGGTTTTTTTTTTTTTTATATTTATTTTTTAAATTAGAGATGATAACTTACATATAGGTGAGGTAAAAAAAAAAAAAAGCAAAATTTTGATCTATGAAATTACGTTATTGTCCTTAATTTTTTTTTTTTGTTGTGATAGAAGACAAATATGTTTTTTCACCCTCTTTTAATTAATAAAGAGAATTTTATTAATGTAATTTTATATAAATTAGCATAACTGCCTTAATTTTTTATTATTTTTGAACTGGAGAAGTAATAAATAGGTTGAAAGGCAATAATAGGCAGAAAAAATTTGAAAATAGATCAACTATTGCTAATCAATCTACTTTATGATTTTGCAGATATTGAATAATTCTTTATCTTTTCGGTCTAGATTATGTACTGTAATGTGAGACCCGCATACTTTTTATCTGTTCGACAAAAAAAAAATACTTTTTGGTTTTGTTACTATGTATTAGTAAACACCAAGAAGTCATGGTTTGCAATAATGCTAAGTACCAGTTTGGTACAACTAAAATTAAAAAAAAAAAGTGGTTATCAAAAAAATATAGGTCTAAAATGTATTTGGTAAACATCTATAATTAACTTCTACATAATTTTAAGTGAAAAAAACCAAAAAGCTAAAGCAGTAAAAACAAACTTTAAAAATTTTGCTTTTTTCCCCCAAAACAAGGTGCCCATTAAATGAATTTTATGAAATTCCAAACTTACTTTCGTTTCTCTCTTTATCGTACAAAAGCAGAAGGGCGCAATTAAAATCTAAAAACTTGATGAGTGCTTCCTCCCAGCCATGGTGTTGCTCTCTCGTCTCTCAGCTCGCGTTCTCTCTCGTGTCTTTCGTCATCCGATTGAACTTTCTTGTTCCTAAATGTTACATAGAAATTCTTAAATCTTCTGCAATCATACCTCTGCACTCTTATGCAAGGTCGGTCCTCACTGATCCCCTTCACCTAACAACTAACAATTTATCCCACCAAAGCTATATAGTTTGTCAAAAGAAAAAAAAGCTTCACTATAAATTGATCCGCGCGTTCGATTGTAAGAATGTTATGTCTATAACATTAGGTTCATCACATTTTCAATTTGTTTTTACTACAATTAGTTATGTGTAAGTATTTGATCAACAAATAACTTGTTAAAAATATATGACATCCATATTCTTCAATTCAAACTTCAAACTGTGGATGAACTAAAATGGTTTAGCTCCATCCTTTTTATGAGATTACGACACTATTTAAGTTGTTAGATTCTTCATATCTTGATTGAGTTCTCTTTTCTTTCTTTTTTTTTTGGACAAACGTTAGAATAATTTACACTAAATTCATTTAAACTACGTGAAAATGGTTCAAATTTGGTCTAAAAAAGTAAAACACACAACTCTAACCAACTTGGTCTAGATTTGCAAGTTTGAATTGTAAAGTGTATATTTCTGAAATAAATATGTATACTAAGAAAAATATATTGATAGACAATCCACTATTATTCACCAAAGTCTTCAAATGGTACATAAAGAGTAAAATATCACAAACACCACACAATAACAAAGAAATTTGCAACAGTTGACAGTGCCTGGTCCTGTGATGCACTCCTCTCCTGTTTCTCAAGCATGACACATTCTTTCTGAAACCTTATCGACGAAGGAGAAATATGCATCACTCCAAGACTTTCTGCTTGCTGCAAAAGCCAGTCCAACACTAAAATAATATCACTTATCGATGAAGTCGTTGTCACCACCATCGTCCTCCAAAATCCTTTCGTTGTCACGATCTCCTGGACAGCTTGCGACAGGAGGAGGACCACAAAGGCCTGGATTTCAACGATAAGAGGATTCATTAAAAGTTGTCAAGTGAGCTGCATATATACGATCCTTACCAGAAAGCTCATTGCTTGACAAATTTAGGTACCCGAAAGGTGAAAGTTCTACGTACCAAAAATGTAATGGATGATACTATAGTACATAGCAGTATAAAATATAAAATGCTTTTTTAGCTCAAGTGATCGTACCTGGTCCTCTGATTCTCAGGCATGACATTCTGATATTCTCTCTAAAACTTGATCCGCAAACCGAAAATAAGCATCACTCCAAGATTTTCTGATAGCTAAAATAAAGAAAGGAACCAGAACACCCGATGCAAATCCCAATCCGACACTCAAATAAAACCACTTGTCAATGAAATCGTTGCCATCACCATCATCCTTCGGAGTCTTTCCCTTATCCGGATCATCATCTGGGCAGCTTACAAGAAAAGGAGCACCACAGAGGCCTGGATTTCCAGCAAAAGCTGGCGCATCGAAAGTTGTTGATTGCCCTGTGTATGGGATCCTACCGGTGAAGTCATTGTTTGACAGATTCAGATACCCCAGGAATGATAGTAAGACAAACTTTGAGGAATCGGACCTGTAAGCCTGTTGCTTGAAAGATCAAGTGACTGTAACTGGTTCAACTTTGAAATGCCTTCAAGAATGTGACCGCTTATGTGGTTTCTGGATAAATCCAGAGCAATCAAACCAGCCAAATTAGTTATTTCTTCGGGAATATCTCCACTCAATTGATTTCCAGAGACGTCTATGCTGATTACGAGGAAGAGCAACTTGGTGTATTTTTGAGGCGAGCCTTTTAATTTCACAATCAAGTTTTCTTCATAGTAAACACCCCTGTACTTCCCATAGAATATATAACGGTTTGTGTTTTTCACTTGTGCCATTGCTTTGAAATCTCCAAAACTAGCTGGAATGCTTCCATTCAGTTGATTTTCTGCAAGGTCCAGGACATGCAATGAACTTAAATTTGATAGCATGATGGAAGTTCTCCGAAAAATGCATTTGACCTTAACCTCAAAATTCTCAAATACTCAAAACCTTTCCCGATCCATGGGGGAATACTTCCTGTTAGCATGTTGTTTCCAATATCCAGTGTCTACAAACTTGACAAATTCTGCAAGGCTTGTGGGAGCTGTCCAGAGAGTTTGTTGTCGCTTAAGTGCATTGTTTGAAGCAGACTTAGCTGACCTAATAAGCTTGGAATGTTTCCAGATAGATTGTTCTTGCTAAGGTCTAAAACCTTCAGAAAGGAACAGTTTGCTATGGTAGAAGGAATGCTTCCACTTAATCTGTTATTTGAAAAATCGATAACTTCAAGAAGCAAAATTTTGCCTATAGAAGCAGGGATTTCACCTGTTAGTTGGTTTCCCGAAAGAGAGAGGAAGATCATGTTTGGTATGGTTTCCCCTATGGCCTTTGGGATATGACCTGAAAATACATTGTTGGATAAATCTAGTAACTCGATATCAGCAATCGGAAAAGGAATCGGTCCTTCAAAGAAGTTGAAGCTCAAATCAATATCTGCATAGGGAGCAGCATTAAAAGGATTTGGGACCTGCCCTCCTAATTGATTGAATGAGATATTTAACAGTGAGAGGTTCGATGAGATTTCCCAAAACCAGTTTGGAATGGAACCTGAAATGCTGGCATTTGAGAAATCTAGAAACTCGACCTCCTTTTGGGATCTTAACCAAGCAGGAAACGAAGGACCCAAATGGCATGACCCTAGATCAAGATTTCGGACTAGAAAAGGGGGGATCCAATTTGAACTGACGTTTAATGTTAAAGAGTTGGAAGACAAAAGCAAGATTTTCAACTTACTAGGCTGCGAAAAATGTGTTTCGGTTACAACACCTGTCAAATGATTGGAAGAAACATCCAACACGAGACAACTCAGAAAGTTTCCCTAAACTATCTGGGAGAGTCCCATTTAGTTTATTATATCCAAGATCTAGCAGAGAAATATTCGTTAATGATCCCAATGTAGAAGGGATGGGACCATAGAGGGAGTTCCCGAACAGACTTAGCTTGATGAGATTCTCAAGCTGACCTAACCATTCTGGCAATTTACCCACCAATCGATTGATAGACAAATCCAAGTGCTGCAGGCTAGGTAGTGGACTGCTAGTTTTGCAGGTTCTCATTCGCAGAACTTCAGGTAAAGTTCCTGTTAGGTAATTGCCTGATAAGCGGAAAAACTGGAGGTTGCAAAGTTCACCTATAGAGCTTGGAATCCCACCCTCCACATTGTTGTTAAAAAGATCAAAATAAGTGAGAGCTGTCATGTTGCCAATGGAAGCAGGAAGTTTACCATGTAATTTACTGGAAGCTAGAATAATAACTTCTATCTTTTCCCATCCTGCTCTGAAAAGCTGAGAGCAACTTGCCGTTAGATTTTCATTCTCAGAAAGATCAATAGACTTTAATCTCGAAAGTTTCCTGAAACCAAGCGGAATCCTTCCATGCAAGCCACAGCTGCTACTGAGAGTTTCAAGACTACTGATATTGACAAGCCAATTAGGTATATCTGACATGAAGCTGTTAATATCAAGTTCGACTACAGAAAGTGAAGTGAAATTGACTACAGTGAGAGAGGGAATAAAACCGGATAAGCCACATCTTGACATATGCAATTCAGTTAAGAAGAAGAGTTTATTAAGCTTTGGAATCCAGTCCGGTCCTACCATTGAAAGATCAGCTTCATTCATATTGAGATACTCCATAGATACTAGACCAGTCACCCATTCAAGGTTATCAACAGATATAAAATTAAGGGACACATCAAGAAACTGCAAGCTAGAGAGGTTCCCTAAATTTGGGAGAATTCTACCACTAAACCCAGCATATGACAGGTTTAGATACTGCAAATTCTTCAGGGATCCGAAAAATTCTGGTATTGGAATTCCATTAAATGTATTGAAACTCAAGTCTAAATGCCTCAAGGACTCGAGCATTTTCAGCGATGGACTAATTTCACCACTAAGGTTCCAGAATCCGTACCTGCTTGGAGAACCCTGTGGATGTGGGTTATGGAGATCAACTGTTAGAACAGCTCCAGTTGTATTATGACAGTGTATCCCCCGCCATTTGCAGCAGTTGCTTCCTTTCCATGATGAAAGCCGGTTTTCAGGATCTTCAAGACCCTTTTTGAAGTCAATGAGAGCCTCTCTCTCACTTTCTAGGCAACCTATCAAACGAGCATTACCACCACAAGAAAAATGGTTTATCAAGAAGAAGAGAAGCAGCAAGAGTGGATGAAGCATTGTGAATGATTCTGTAAACTCAAAGTCTCAGACTCTCAATAACCAAACACTATGAACCATGAACAATGATGATGTTTCTGATATATAATCTTCGCTTGCGTGCGAAGAAAGAAAACTAATTTCGCTTTCTTCAGAAGAGTTAAGAAAAGTGAAGGTTCATGGTAAGACCAGAGAAAATAATTCAACATAAAAACATTTAACTGCAAGGAACATTCAAACCAGTTCCCCAGAAATCAATGTATGCCCTTATAATAATCACATTCTTAGAACATATTAAACGCTGTCCTTATCCTTAAATTAAAAATAAATGGTGAACTCTTTCTGGACCAATCAGTTTTCTCTTAGTATTGGCTTGATGCAACAAGTTTCTCATCATTCCCGACTATTAAATTATGCAGGCCTGCCTGGAAATTAACCAAGTCAATGCATGCTTGTTAAAAAAATAACACTCAATAAAAGAAAATTATGAACTATAAGAAAACTGCATATTTTTCGACAAAAATGATATTCTAAACTAATCTATTTACAAAGAAGGGAAATTAAAGTAAGGTGCAAGGGACGGCAACCCATTATCTTTAACCAACTAATCTAACTTAAATTTGTACAAAAAATTATAGTTGATTTGGAAAAGTATTTTCACGTGAAGATTAAGCACGGACCAACAAGAAGGCCCGTTTTGTGTGCTGTGCGGATGACGACTTTTCAGTTTTCCCTCCACCGTCCATGCAGTAGCAGCCCAAAAGTCCCACGCTCCCGTAACACGCGTGAAGGTCACTTACGTTCCCAAATTACCGTTACTACCCGCCAACTAAAGTCACAGAAAATTCTCAGCACTCCAACTAAAATCTCTCTCTCTCTCTCTCTCTCTCTCTCTCTCCATAATGGCTCTCTTCACTTCTATCTCCACCTCAACCCTCTCCATCTCGGCGGCAATCCGTCCCATCAGGCCGTCGAACAGCTCTAAGCGCTTCTCTCATTCCATCACTGCTTCTTCTCTGAGCTCCCCACCGTCTCCGGAATCAAAATCAACGGCCCCAAATCAAACCGCAGTGTCCTCCTCCTCCGAAACTTCACCAGACCCTTTGAATGGTGCGTCGTCAAGACCCCCGGAGCCGGTGGGCTTCAATTACGCCCTTGCCAACGGCAACCCCTTTGTTCGGTTTGCCCGTTCCGCTGAGTCTTCCATTGAAAGGGTAACTGAATTTTAATTTGTGTTTCAGTCACTGTTCTTGCTTAGTAATGATTACTTGGTATAAATGTTCAGAGATCCATGGGAATATTGGAACTTTTGGAATTTGGATGTGACTAAAAGAGTGAATTTTCCTCTAGTTGCAGAGGAGGCTCTTCTTAAAATACAGAAAAGAAAAACCCTTCTAGTTGCAGAGGAGGCTCTTCTTAACTTAGGGCTGTTTAATACCATATCGTTTTCAGTTTTCAAAACAAGTGAAAACTGAAAACGAAATGATTATCAATCGGCCATTTAGTAATGTGGCCTTTTCTTAATTTTGGTGACCGGAGCTTTTTATTGTGTGTCTTTGTTCCGCCATAGCTTGTGTTACGTTTTTTATGTAATGCTGGAGTTCATCAACTCTCTAAAGAATTTCTTGCACTTTGATTAAAATTAAAATGACAGGGGAGGGGTTTGAATAGCTTGGAGGACTTGGTTGTGATTTTTTTGATAATTGACAGATTGCTGCTGAGCAATAAGAAGAATCAGTAAGTTAGAGCTACTGATGCAAATGTAGTAGTTTTGTTCAAACACTTTGGAGGCAATCTCTTTCAAAGCTTAAAAGAATTCAATGGCAATGGTAATTTGTAAGCGGTCTAGCGCGTATAAACAACCTATCTTAAACTAAGGATGGCTAGGACACAACAAAATCTCATTTACCTCATGGTCGATTCTGTTTTTTGTTATAGGTGCCAACTGTCAATAATTAAGAAAGTTGTGCAGTTTCTTCTCTGTTTAGAAATTTTTTGCGTCTAACAATATGTTCTAAGCGTTCTTTATGTGTCCATTGTTGAACAGACAATATTTGACTTCCGGTTTTTGGCACTGTTTGCTGTTGGAGGTTCGTTGGCTGGTTCACTGTTGTGCTTTCTCAATGTAATTTCTCTCTATCATATTTTATATTCTTACTTAAGTACCAAGGAGAAGAAATATTTTCTTTCTATGAGGTCTTCGACCATGAAAATATAAATTCAGGCTCTGATTGCGATTTCAACTATAATCTCTGTGCTACACATAATGTATGACTGTATCCGTACACACTCATACTACATTCAAATCTGCAGGGTTGTGTTTATATAATGGATGCGTTTAAAGTTTATTGGACTAGTTGTGTCAAAGGGAATCACACTGGACATATGGTTCTCCGACTTGTTGAAGCTATTGGTATAATTTCAGAATCCTCTTTCTAGAATTGCTCTATGTTTCTGTTTCTTGAATATGCTTTCAAATGCTTACAAAATACATGTCAAATGTCGTGACTTCTGTGTAAGCAGCAGAAGTCCCTCCTTTCTTAACAGGGTAAAACTCATCGTATGATGTCCATATTTCTATGTTTATTTTTGTTATTATAGTCTGTATGTTGATGCAATGACGTATGATGCAGATGTTTACCTTGCTGGGACTGTCATGTTAATATTTGGCATGGGACTTTACGGATTATTTATCAGCAATGTCCCTAATGATGTGCCTTCCATTGATGATCGCGCTCTAAAGGGATCTTCTTTGTTCGGGATGTTTGCTATGAAGGTAATTTTACTTCCCGTATGCATTGGCTTAAACCTGCACCGAGGTATTAAATTATTAATAGATGCTAACACAGTCTTATTACATCAGAACTAATCTGTCTTATTTTATTTTTTGAACACTGCCAAGTTAACTAGATGCTGGTTTTTCAGGAGAGACCTAAATGGATGAAAATTAGCTCACTCGATGAACTGAAGACGAAAGTGGGGCACGTAATTGTCATGATTCTTCTGGTAAAGATGTTTGAGCGGAGCAAGATGGTGCAGATAACCACCGGTTTGGATCTATTGAGCTATTCTGTCTGTATTTTCCTGTCTTCTGCTTCTCTGTACGTCCTTCATAATCTACACAAGTAAGGATAAGGCTTTCAAACACATTATGTATAGGGTTTAACGTGACGTTTAGCTTACAGCTTCAAGTGAATATACGTCTTCCGAATTGAAATCAAAGTTCTGCTATTTTGATCTCGACTGCTATTACTCACCTGACACTCCACATTAGATGCAAGCAACTTATGAAGATCAGATAACACTTCCTAGTTCTTACCGTTATCTTTAAGCATGAAAAACGGCAAGGTAGACTCTTCCACCAATTTGTCCAAAATTAACCATTTATCTCAAAATGTCTTGGTGGAATTTAAGTAGATATTCTCCAGTGTTAGATGATAACTTATCTGGTGCGGTACAAATGTATAACTTCACTCGTAACTTCGAACATTTGACTCCGCGATGGTTCTGCAACAATATGCCATACCAAGTTGAGCATATGTTCCATGGATAAACTACGAAACTGCAAAAGTGCAAATGAACTCTGGCAGCTCGCAAAGCATCACTTGCTTCTTACCTTCTCCTATATCCAACGACGCATGTAGTCATGATTTTCAACTGGCCTTACACACAAGGGTGTCTCGTGTGAGCCAGCTAGAAGGCTGTTTTGGTTTTGCTTCAAAAAACAAAAAATATTCAAAGTTTATAGCTAGATGTTGCTTGTAACACCAATATCTGGTGGAATTGTTACCGCGCTGGGAGTTTATGAAAAGAATTACTGATGCAACAAAAAATGCAACTGCATCTTTTCTCGTTATGCTATTTACCTTTCTCCATCTTAATATTTTGTTCATCGAAAAAACTATACAATATACAATTTTAGATTGTTGAATGTACTAGTCTGCTTTAACTTTGATAAGGCAATTCCATTAATCTGTCGAACCCTCTCCCTCGAAAGCTTTAACAGTCTTCCTATCTCCTCAAAGGACTTTGGGGTCTCTCCGTGTAGCCCAAAGTGTAATCTCAACACATATGCTTCTCTATCACTCAGCGTCTTGAGAAGCTTCTTGACCTCTTGCTTCATTAGCTGTTTTGTAAGCATCTTTTCTGGCATCATCTCCTCTGGCCCTTGCATGATCTCCTGCAGTAGAATGCGAACTAATAAATTAAGATCAACTAATGAAGCGTAACTGATACACCTTCCACAATCGTTTGAGCTGCTAATGGCGCATAGCCATGAAAGCAAACATTCACTAAAGTGGAAATAAGATTCAAGAAACAGACCTGCAGTGACATGCAACCCCGAACAGTTACCACTCTATCCAATGAAATTGGCGGTCTGCTCCTCTCGCTAACAAGCTTTACTGTTGCAGCATGCACATTAACCTCTTGAGCGATTTCATCATATGTAGGCAGTCGCTGTATTCTTTGGTTGAAGGAATTTTTAGCTTTTGTGATTTTTGCCATCATACCGCACACGTTTACCTGCAGAAATAAACTAACCATACTTCTGTAATCTTTCAATCAATGCAATTCTACCAGGTTATCTCGCAAGAGTTGTATAAAATATATGCAAGGAAAGGAACTCATTTTGATAAAAATTTACTATCTAAATCATCTCAAACAAGTTTTAACACGATGTATACGCCAAAAGAGCATCTCCAGCTGAAAGCTAACCTCATCATCTATATTCAATAAAATTCACCTTTGACAGTAGAACAATCTTGACGAAAAAATTTCAAACAAATTACGCTAACAAGTATAGTCATGGCTGATAAAAATTATAGTCATGGCTGATAAAAATTGCTTTAACAATCAATAATTTTTTCTTCTCAGACGTACCATGGTTTTGACACACCAACTGATATATACAGTAAGCTAGAAGCAAAGGCGCAAATTCTCGAGAAAACTTTGGGCTGACAAGACCTGGTTTACTATATCCTACCCCAGCATTAGAACTTTCCATTGAAATGCAACGCAGGAAATGTGCTGTTTTCATTCAAGAAGTAGTCCCCATTTCCAATTAAGAGACATTGAACGTAGTCGTGAATGTGGTGCAAAACTTGAATTGCCGAACTTCCTCTTTGCATCAGAAAACCAATAAACACTAATCCGAGACCCATAGAACTAACTAATTAATTACATCACTAACATAAAATCTGCAGCTCAGTGATTAGGCAACCTCAGTAAAAAAGCGGAAGCAGTGTCTAACAAAAAGAACTAAATCCAACTGTTTAAGAACAATGGTTAATTAGGTTAGCTTCTCACTGGTAATCTGATTATTCTAGACTTCTTGTCTAGGGCTCTGATAATAGCTTGCCTGATCCACCAGTAGACGTACGTTGATAATTTACATCCTCGCTCATGATCAAACTTCTCTGCCCCTCGAAGTAGCCCAATGCTCCCTTCCTGCATAAATAGATACTTAGTTTCATGGAGCAACTTACGGAAAGTGTTGGACAGGAGTAAAAAAGGTGTAGGAACCTGAATGAGGTCTTGAAAGCTTAATCCTTTGCCTTGATAACTGCTGGCAACAGAGACAATGAGTCCCCGGTAGCTCCTGATGATTCTTTCTTGTGACTCTCTTTTCTTACAAAGCACGTTATCTATACTTCTCGTCTTCATTCCCATTGCCTTGGCTAACTGCTTTGAGGTAGGCTCCTGCTCTTCAGCTTCTATGACTCTTAATCTTCGTGATTCTAGTCTTGCTCCCTCCTGTGTTATTAAAGGCCATACACAGATTACAAAACTCTGCAAGAAGTAATTTGAGAACTGTTCTAAAACAAAACACGGTTCCAACTAAAGCTGGTTCTAGTAATTGCATTTGAAAACGAAAGGAAAATCATGTGAACCGAAGTATAAAGATTAGCAGAAACTTAAACTTTTTTTAAGGTTTATGCAATGGCCACCAATTGAATCATGTTAGTTGCATCATTTACAAGGAGCAGTGGATAGGAAGAAAATTAAAACTAGAGGTGAGAATGTTGCTAACTGTAGTGATCATCATATACAACATCGAACTGTACAGTTGAAGAAACATTATAGTGTCCTCTAGCATTAAAAAGTATATGTTCAGTTGTACGAATGCCTAGAGGTGAGAATTTCTTATAATACGAAGATGAGATACAAGAAAGGCAAGCACGTAAACGAATTTACAAAATGTAACCCATAGCAAAACTCCATTTCTTAAATAATGCTCTTGAACTTGGCAAGAATTGATGAACTCAAATATTGAAACCAACCAATCATTCTCCAAACTCAATCGGAACAAATAATGATGCGCAATATGCTGTCTAAATCGAGAAGTAGAAGAACACCCATCAATTATTTATACGACAGAGTAAATGGCAGTTAGGCTTTTCACATATAAGCACATAACTACTTTACACCTTAGAGAAAAACACTTCAAGTCCAATACTTCAAAAAACACCCTACTTTTCAACAGAAGAGACTCTAACGGAAGTTCGTGCTGTAAGAATCAGTTAGAACATGGCAGCTGGCTGACTCATGGGCTTTTTCTTTAATTGGGCCGCGTTGTAAGCTATGTTTGAATGAGGAATTTCCAAGTACCGAACATTTGAGGTAAATTAGTTACAAATGAATCGCAAAACACTAGATGAAGGGATTTGAAATGCGCAAACAAGGATTCACAAATGACGACTCCATTCAAGTAGCCATTTGAAAATCCCTTTAAACACGTTGTATTTACTCATTTCAAAATCATCCACCAAATCTTTTTGCGGTGCATTTTTAACTAATTTAGTCCTATACCGCTTAGTACTTTCAAATCCCATATCGAAACATAGCATGAACGTTTTTTGTATAAAACTAACCATTCTCGGAATACTAGTACAAATTTGCTATACAAAGAATCAAGGAGAATTATAGTACCTTGAGACTTAGACAGCATTCTGCTTCTTCTTTTGAGCTCAGATGCCCACATCTCACCAACCCAAACGACAACTTTCCATCTCCAACGCCCCTCTCCCTCTCCTCATCCAAACCCTCCAAACCTCTTCTCCTTTTCCTCCTCCTCTTCCTCCTCATCACCAACCCACCACTCCCATTCCCACTCTCCCTACAACTCCAAGCCTTCACAATCTCATCCCTCGCCGCTGCAGCATCTCTGGCCGCCTCTACAGCAGCCCGGGCCAGCGCCAGCGCCTCAGCCGCAGCTGCAACTACCAATGCGTCATTGGAGACCAAACTGGCGCCAAATTTGGAGGAGGAAGAGGAAGAGAGTGGAGGGAAGTGCAGTTGGAGAGGGTGGTGGGTTTTGAGTGGAAGTGTTGGGAGGGTTGGAGATTGGTTTGGTGATGAACATATGCTGCTGGTGATGGCCATACAGATTACAGAGAGTACAAGGAGTGAAGTGTGAGGAGTGGATTTTTCTTTCTGGAGAGATATTTGTGTGTTTTGCCATGTCAGTCCAACGGACAGACAGAGAGGATAGAGGCCTCAGTCCGTCCGGTGCTAAATTTTTGCTACCTGTGGATATCATTGAATTCAATCTCGATCATCGGTTTCAAATTATGTCCAACTTTTTTTTTTTTTTTTTTCTGCTTATTTATGTTTATTTATGTTATTTGATTTTCTTTTAGGAACTTTAATGAAAAGTTATTAGTAGTTTAACGAAAAATCATATATCTACAGTAAAAAGCTAATCTTGGTATTATTTATTTTACCTTTTATTTTTTCATTTTTGTTAAAACTCAAAGTTTTCAAATCATTTTCATTAGTTTTCATTTTACTCTATTTTAGAGTAATAGTAGGCTTACCACGCGTGGTGGTTGATGGCAAATTTTGAACTGTATTTTATTAGTCACGCCTGGTTAGATCATTGATGTTGATAAATCACACAATGATGGTTAGAAGAGGCCGAAATGCCAGTTGATATATATATATAGTTTTCAAAAGAAAAGGCCTAGCACATATTATACATATACTAAAACTCAGTTTCTTGGTATTGTTTTTCATTGTTAATGAACAGTGAAATGGCGGAAATACCCTCAACCATTATGTTCTTTTTTTTCTCTTGGTATAGTGAAATTACGTGTTTATCAACGCTAGCCACGCGTCCATCATCGTCGAGAAGTCTGCTTTGTCTACAACCTCTAGACTTCCACTTCTCTCTTGAACTCGCCTTCTGTCGCTCTTGGCTTCTCTCACTTTGAAACCTTGTGTTCTTTTTCTCACAAGCTACCAACGAACCAATAGAAGTTTCTTGGTGAAAAACCAACCAATAGTAGAATTTTCTTTGGGTTTTGAGTTTGATTCGAAGAAAATTTTACCTAGAAAAGCTCATGTTTCCTGGTGAGATTTACGGCTTTCTTGGTCTTGGGATTTCTGTTGTTATCAGAACAATATCGATATCATCTGGGGGTTTTGTTTTGTTTGAATTTCTTTTTTGTGATTTTGGATTTACAACTGGATTTTGTGATCAAATTTCCTTTTTGTGATTTTGGGGTTTTGTTTGTAGGCTCCGATTCTACATGTGAGTTGTCACATTCCGGTCAAGGACGGATCACTTTTCGGGCTCGTTCCATCACCGTAGCATAATATTGTCCGTTTTGGGCTTACCATTTCTTCACGGTTTTGTTTTTGGGAACTCACGAGCAACTTCCCAGTGGGTCACCCATCATGGGATTGCTCTAGCCCCTTCTCGCTCAACTTCGAAGTTCCTACAGAACCCGAAGCCATAGAGCTCCCAAAAGGCCTCGTGTTAGGTGGGGATGGGAATATACATTCAAGGATCACTTTCCTGGACGATGTGGGATGTCACAATCCATCCCTTTTAGGGACCCGACGTCCTCGTCGGCGCACCACGATCAGGGTTAGGCTTTGATACCAAATTGTCACATCCCGGCCCAGGACGGATCACTTCCTGGGCCCGCTCCACCACCGTAGCACGATATTGTCCGCTTTGGGTTTACCATTCCCTCACGGTTTTATTTTTGGGAACTTCTCAGTGAGTCACCCATCATGGGATTGCTCTAGCCCCCTTCTCGCTCAACCTCGGAGTTCCTACGGAACTCGAAGCCAGTGAACTTCCAAAAGGCCTCGTGCTAGGTAGGGATGAGAATATATATTTAAGGATCACTCCAATGAGTAATGTGGGATGTCACATGAGTGCTTAATTTGGTTTTGTATTCAATTTCAGGAGACCTTGGATTTTTGTTTTTTGGGCTTTTGTTTTCAGCCTCTGACACCCTATGTGCTCAAGCTCTATGATGGCAGTGGTGAGCTTCCCTTTCAAAGATTCCTCCTTTCCAGTAATTAAGGTTTATGAAGTGATTTCTCTGCTTAATTTATGCTTCATTAGTTAATGAAGGAGGATTTGAATCAATTCATCTAAACGTGATCCTAACTTTATCTTTTTTGTTTTGCTACTGGTGGTTGTGAACGTGATGTGTTACCATGTTAAGAGGAAATTAAGAAAAGCATTCGTTAATCTACTTTTGGTTATCTAAATTTCAATTCATTTGTTTTTATTTTACCCGGGCTTCGTTTCATCTTCAAATCCCTTCGATTTTTTGCACTTTGTTTTGGGGAACACAATTGCAATTTTCAAAAGAAAAATCTATTCCCATTGGATATATTGTCAGCCATTAGACTGAACAAAAAGGTTGGTATCTTTAGTTTTTCATTTTTTTTCCTTCAATTTGGAATGTGAATTCGCATTGTCACTTTGGCTTCACATTGTTGGTACGCAAAGACAGATTGCAAACAATTTTACTATTTTTTTTGTAAGAACTTCAATTATTTTCAAAATGTGAAAACAACATGCATTCCCTTATATTCCAATGAGCATCGAGACAACAATATTTCTTACAGGAAAAGAATAGATCATATGTTAGGAAGATACAAAGCTGGAGTATTTGCCAAACAAAATTGTGGACATTCTTTTTTTATTCTTTGAGGGACAATTGTTATCGCTTCTTTTTCTTAATGGAAAATTGTTGCTAATTTGTTTGTGAAATTTTACCTAGGTTTTATTTTTCCTTATTCTTTTTGTGTTTGTTTTTCCCTTTTAGTTTATTTGGAATCATGGAATCTGGATAGGGTGAGCAGGATATTAGTAGTGGTTTGTTTGTGTTTTTTTTTCGTGAATTTTGATAGGTTAAAGAGCAAAAGCGCTGGCACGAGCAAGAAGGCTGCAAAGGATCCCAATAATCCTAAGAAGCCTACAAGTGCCTTCATCGTTTTCATGTATGATCAAATCTCTCTCTCTCTCTCTCTCTCTGTCTCTCTCTCTCTCTCCAAATCGATCGTTTTTTTACTATGATTTAATTTTTGTAGTTATATTTGTATAAATTTTTCAGTCAGTTTTATATAAGAAGCATTTCAGAGTGAAATATCAAGGACCATCATAAGTCAATCTCATCTTATGATCCACTCTTGCCTTTATCAATTACCATCCTATATATGCAACATAGTCTCCACTCTCTCACTCTCTTGCAAATCCTTCTTCCCATTTTCTCCTAGACATGATCAATGCCATCAGCCTTTACTCATTAGCCACTGCCACCTTTACATTGCACATCAAATTTAGAACACACATGGTATATATGTCTCAAACATCTCAGATCATTTCTTTTACTTCGATTTTTATTAGATCTTACAAAAGCGTTTTAATTTTTCCAGTATTGTTACTCTTACACGATTGCTACTGCATATACTCATCTTTTTAGGCTGTTGGGTTTTTTCTGCATGCACAGATTAGATTTCCAAATTTTCTTTTTCCTTTTTTTTTTTTTTTTTTTTTTTAATTTTTATAGTTCTCTCTCATTTTTCTGAAACCAAAATACAAAACGTAAATTTCAAACATCCTTGCAGACCAAATTCATTACTTTTAACCATGCACACAAGTTTGAGAGACCATTTCAGAAATAACATATATTAGCCATGCATAAAAGTTTGGGCAATCTGCTATTTACTGCTCTTTAACTCTATTTCTCATATTGAAGACTCAGGGCAAATCACAATTGCGCCTCTTCATTTATCTGCTTATTGCTATTTATGTTAGCTGCTTATTTTTCAGTGGGATTGGTTCTAAAATTCTAATTTTTTTGAGCAATGACAAACTGGAATTGGTTTTGAAATTTTATCACCATGCAAAATTGCAAAGGGCTGACCAAATGAAACACATAATTTCGATACACTTGGCTAAGGCATTGGAATTCCATCATTAGTAACTTGAAAAAGCCAACAAAAATCCTTGCTTTTAAGTAACATGCTGATGAAGTTGACCCAACCTAAGATAACCAAATCTCTGTTGGACAATGACATATACATGGTTCATATCAAAATTTATTTACATAGTTCACATGGAAATACAATTGTTGGTAGCATAAGCACATACACAACTTGTTGATGTACAAAATCAGCGAGGACTTTGGTACAACAGAAAGTGTCAAGTTTGCAACATTCGTTAGATTACTCCGGTCACTAGTGTGGATAAGTATGTAAATGGACAGAGACAAAGAAGCAAACACAAAATGTACCTGGTTCACCCAGATTGGCTACGTCCACGGAGTAGGAGAGTTCTCATTAATTGTGAAGGGTATACACAAATACATAGGTTAAAGCTCTCCTTAGTGAGTCTAGTGAATGATTTAGTACAAATGACATTAAGAATTATTGTGGGAGAATGGTCTCTTTTTATAAAAGAGAGTTTCTAGCTTTATTCTGATTTTGACGCGTGTCATGCTGTGATTGACCTTTGATGTTGACACATGTCACGCTGTGATTGGCCTTTGATGTTGACATGTGTCATGCAGTGATTGGCCTCTTGGTTGGGGGGAAACTCTTGTGGATCCTTGACGGTGTATCGTTGACCCGTGCTTAGTAGTTTCGGGATTAGTCAAGTATAGTACAAACAATGCTCCTTTAAGTTCCCGAGTGAGGGAAGCTCTTCAGTTGGGGACTTGCAAGATCCAAGCCATTAAGTAATCACAAAACTTCTAAGTACCGAAGTGTGGTATCTTTTTCACTTGCCTATGTCCCACAGATAGGATTGGTATACTTTCTAGTTTTTCCCAAGGTAGATGTGGCATCTTCTCTGGAGGTCCTAGTCCTCCATCCAGAAGTAGTATCTTTAGCTGATGTTGACGCACAAGGTAATGTATCACTTTCACTTGAAGCTTACTTGTAGTTTTGGGCTTGGTCAAGTGCTATAAAACCATATAGTATGAATCCCCCAAGTCGCCGAGCTAGGAGATCTACCGAAAGAGGTGACAGACAAGGTAAGCAATCAGAGTTTCAAGCAATCAGTCTCAAATTAGAAGTTTGATCTCGAGTTCCGGTTGATTGTTCTCATTCTTCTTGTCTTGCGGACAGCAACAAGGACAAAGAAAAGGACACGGAGAAGATATGATATGTGATACTTTTGCTTTTGAAGAAGTAACGGATGAATCGGCACGTGTTTTGTTGTACTTGTTGACTTTCCATAGGCTTATTCTTGAACTGGGCTGGTTTTCTGGTTTCCTCCAAAGGAACAAGCCGACTCAAGAATTTGAAGGTCAAAACAGGAACGTCAAATCTAAAGTACATTCAAACCTGATGATATGGGATACTTTTGCTATTGACAAAGTAGTGGATGTGGTATGGCGAGGCTTTACTCTTCGGCGACGGTTCCAACAAAAGGTTGTTGAAGCTTCTTGAGCTCTTTGGATGAGGCAATAATGCTGAGCTTGGATTTGACTTAAATTCCTCCGTCTGGATTGTGCGTTTCTGCAGGAAGGGCGTTGTAGTGATCTATTCCAGCTCATCATTGAACCTTCTGCTTTAATCTTTTGCATAGCAGAAGTGGTGCGCAACCTTTGCATTTGAATGGTCCTTCAGAGCACTATTTCTCAGCAACTTATCCATGCTTGGCAGCTTCAGTGTAAAGAGCCAATAGCATATTAACTGTTCTGAGGTATTTGTCGAAATAACTCATAACCTTAACAACATTTGAGGATGAGTACTCGAAAGCAATGCCTGGTAAGCAACCAGGCAAAGGTTTCGGGCAATCAGCTTTAGACTGTAAGTTTGATTTCAGGTCCCGACTGATTGCTTTCTTTTTCCTTGTCTTGCAGGTAAGAGTAAGGGCAAATGAAAAGACAGGGAAAAGACATGATATGGGATACTCTTGCTTTTGACCCTGATGACATAAGATACCCTTGCTCTGGTGTGCTATGTTTGTAGAAGTATTATCGGGGGGAAAGAAAGCTAAGTATTTTGAGAGGCTTTGTTGGGAGTGCCTTCTCGAATGTGAGGAAGAGTTGAGCATTTTTGCAAGTTTGCCTAGCTGTGGAGGATGAAGTTTGACATATATAGGACTTTCCGCAACAAGAAGTAGTAATGTTTACCCTTCTTGGTCATAGCAATGTAGTAGGAACTGCAAGATTCACGTGTTTTAACTTTGTCAGAGATCTTTTGATAAAGTGTTTCGTGATATCCAAAAAGTTGATGTTGCATGTGAGAAATGTCGACAAATTTTATCCACGAAAATCTGGCTCTCAAAATTCGGAGAGCGGTGCCTTTTCGTTTTTTTTAACAAGGATATCTTGTTGAAGATGCATTCTCGAGGAGGATGGGAAGTTAGGCACACTCGCAAGTCTTCTTTGCCATAGGGGATGGAGGTCAACAGATATAGGGATTTTCCAATTAGCAAGTAGTGGTGCTATTCCTTTACCCTTGTGGATGATAGTAGGGTAGCTAGAACTTCGAAATTCTCGTGCCTTAACTTTGTCAAAGTTCATTGACAAAGTTATCCTTAGTATCCGATGAGCTGATGTCATGTGTGAAGATTGCTGACAAATTTTACTCAGGAAAATTTGCTTCTCAAAATTCAGAGAGGTGTCTCTTCGATTGTTGAATAAACTGCTATGTTGCCCTTTCTTTTATAAAGGCACCAATTGTGTTCAAGAAGTAGGTTCAAAGAGTTACTGCTTGTAGGAATTTCCCTCTATTTTTGTATTTATGAGATTTACTGTACCTCATTTTTCCTTCATCATTTTCTGAAAATGTTTGACCCATCTGATCGTCGTTTTGACTTGAATGTTGTGGAAGAGGCAGCCATGTCTCCTCAAGATAACATATGGCGCCCATCCTTTTATCCCCTACTGGTTCCTTTACCATTGGGGACTCTGTGATGAAAAATGACATGATCGCTGCGGTGGTAGCTAAGAATCTTCTCACTCCCAAAGATAACAGACTATTTTCCAAATGGTCCGATGAGTTGGTTGTTAAGGATACTCTAGCTCTCAGTGCTCAATGTGTGGGTTCTGTGTCTAATATGGCTCAACGCTTGTTTGCTCGAACCTGCCAAGTGAATCATTGGCGGTTGAGGTGGCAAGTCTAATATAGGAGATCAGAGGGCTCAAGCAGGAGAATAAACAGTTGCACATGCTTGCACATAATTACTCTACGAGCATGAAGGGAAAGTTTGATCGGTTGCAGGAATCCGAGGATCGGATTTTAAGTGATCATCAAAGGTTTGTGAGTTTGTTCGAAAGGCATTTATTGCCTTTGTCTTCTAGGGCTGTACCACGTAGTGAAGCTCCAAATAATCAACCTCCGGTGCCTTTTTTCTCTGAGGTTCTACCCAATACTGAAGCTCCAAATGATCACCCTCTGGTGCCTCCTATTTCTGGGGCTCTGCTGAGTACTAAGACTTCTCATGAGCAATATTTGTGAAGGCCCCCTCCTATTTGTTTGTTTTGATTCATGTGTATGCACGTATTTGTAATTTATCGAAGATATCAATAAATAAGCTTCACTTTATTCATCGTGTTGTGTTAAATATACTAAGGCATCATTCACTAAATTCTTCGAATTTTTTCTTTTGTTGAAGTTTGCATGTTGAAACTTCGTGGATGGATCCTGTAGGTTGAAATATTGCTCCCTTAATTTCCCAATTGAGGAAAGGTTCTCGGTTGGGGACTTGAAAAATCCAAGTCATTGAGTAGTCACACAACTGTTGAGTACCGAGGTGTAGTAGCATATGGTAGGAGTCCCTCAAGTTTCCGGGCGAGGATAGTTGTCGAGGGAGGTGTCTTGGTGGTAGCTCAAGTTGTCAAAGTAACGAAGCTTTGTTTGTGATAACACATACCTGTATACATGTTTCAACCTGAAAATAATTCAAACTCGTTTGATCTTCACCAAGGCCCAACACTTTTATATTTTAACAGCCCAATTTTCTCTTGCTTCATGTTGAGAAGTAGGGAAATAATAAAATAAAAATAACGACCAAGGCCTCATCCCTTTGTCTGTGTCTTCTTCCCTATTTCCCCTTACTTTTCTCACTGTTGCATAACTTGTTCATGTTCTCCTCGTTTCTGCCACTCCCTGCTTCTTTTCTCTTTTTATTTATTTATTTTTTCTTTATGCTAAAGCAAAATAAGTGCAAAACCCCACTTTTTTGCAAAGTCACATGGACTTCACCATTTATTTTTAAGGCAACATAAGTGGAAACTCCACTTTCCTGGTAAAGTCATGTGGACTACACTTATTGTTCTTTTCTTTATGCTAAAGCAAAATAAGTGGAATTGCAGAGGGTGTAACCGTGGGTGGCTGCTTTAATTTTCAAGATAGCAGCTGTGACTTTTAGCTGAATTGAAGGTTATAGAGGAGTTGGGTAACTTGTGGATTTGAAAGTTTAAGAGGTTCAACACTCCTCCATTTGATATTTAATTATGCTTTTGTTTATGACTAGAGCTGACACAAATAATTATATAATATGTAACAAGGGCTTTGTGAATGGAGAGGAAGGATAAGGAAATTTGTGTTTAAAGTTTTTGTTCACACAATTGTTGTTACACAAATTGCAAAAATCTTGGGTTTTGTGAACAAATTTGTTTATTCGTAGCAAGGTTTTGTGTTTGGAAAATAGTTTAATTGGTAAGGTTTATTGATTGTGGGTTTTTGTTTGGGTATATAGCTTAAATAGTTGAAGCTTTTTTTTAGAACACAAAACTTGATTTAGCTTCACACTATCTTGATCAAGAGTGTGTGAAGCTTTTATATGTTTTGGTGTTGAAGTTTTGTAGTGAAGCTTTGTAATTGAAACTTGGTAGTTGAAGCTTTGTAAGTGAAACTTGGTAGTTGAAGCTTTGTAAGTGAAACTTGGTAGTTGAAGCTTTATAGTGAAGCTTTGTGGGTGAAGCTTTGTAGGTGAAACTTTATGGGTGAAGCTTTGTAGGTGAAGTTTTGTGGTTGAAGCTTTGTGGGTGAAGTTTTATAGGTGAAGCTTTGTGGTTGAAGCTTTGTAGGTGAAACTTTTGTTGGCACCATAAATTGGTTTTGCTTCACACTATCTTGATCAAGAGTGTGTGAGGCTTTTGAGAATTGTGGTTAAACTCCTTTGATGAAGTTGTTGTGTTCAACCCCTTCTCTTTTTTTTTTTTTTTTCTTTTTTTTTTTGGGGGGGGGGGTGCCATAAGTTTGAAATTTGAAAACTCCCTAGCTTGTGTGGAAGTTTGAAGACTTTCTATGTGGAGTTTTCTCATGGTTTGAATTTGAATTTTGAATTTCTTTGGCCATGCTGAACCATATAAGAATGATAAGTTTCCATTATTTTCATTGCCTTCATTTGCTCATTTTGTAGTGATTTTTGAAGATAGAGTGCTCTCTAGTTGAGAAAGATTTCGGTATTGCTTTGCACCATCTTCAGGTTGGTAGTCTTCTCCACTAGATCAAATGCTTTCATTCTTGTTGAATTGTTTGAATGTTCATGCATTTGGTTAAGAACATAATGAACTGGTTGAGCTTTTCCTCGTGCCCCGAGAACTTCTTAGGTTTCAATCTTTCATGTAGTGATAAAGTTTGTTTCTGTTTGTAGTAGATGTTAGAGCATGGAAGTCCTAGTGATGAGGGTTCTTATAACTCTAGCTTTAGGTTTGAGCCTGCAATGTCGGAGTCTTCAAGGCCTTTGTTAGAGTCTTGTACAAAAGAAACGTTGGATGATCTTCATAACTGTCAAACCTTAGTCAATGTTGGTTCTTCCTCCTTCATGTCAGTGGGTGAGGGGGTTGACGCCATATCCATATTTCGCTCTGAGTTCACAGTAGACCATTTAGAGAACAACTTGTTAGATAACGAAAACAGCTTGAGGCCCTAAGGCACTCATGTAGTATCCCCCATAGTGTAGGAATACGTTTGGTGCATTATGAAGAATTGGTCTCTAAGCCACCCATAGGTTATGTTATGTTCTACACCCAGATACTAGTGACTTTAGGGGTGAAGCTACCTTTGCACCCCGTGATTGCAACAGATGTTATCTTTTATCAGATATGCGCCTGGGTAACTCAACCCTGGTTTCTGGGATAACTTGATTGGGTTTTATATCATTTGGATGGAGTGTGGGTTGGGTGAGCCTTCTTTCCATCAGTGGCATTACTGCTATAAGACGGGCCCTGTGAAGTCATGCACTGGTTGTGCCGAGTGTGCGTGTCGGAGCGAGAGAGAGCGTATTGTTTTTGGTAAGAAAAAGGCGTACGGTACATGGAAAAACCGTTGGTGCTTTCTTTATAATGATTGGGAGCATGTTAAGGGTGTCACGCCTGAGCGACGTGTTCCTACTCACTTCCAGACAGTAGGTTGTAATGTATCCATTATTCGCATTATTTGCTATTTGTTGTGATTTTCTCTTGCTTCTAACATTTTTCTTCATGCAGTGACGCCAGGCACCATCAAGCTGTCCGAACGGGAGCTAGCTGACGTGGAGAATGTGTTGAGGGTGCCTAAAGAGGATAGACACTTGGGTAAGCTACGACCCTTATTTCGATAGTATGGTTTCCAGCCCTTAGTTTCTGAGTGTTAGAAACGAGCGAGTAAGTTGTATCCTTCACTTGACTCTTGTTCTTTTTTATTTTTATTATTTTTTATTTTTTGTAAAGTTGTATTCCTTACTTTGATTTTCCTTGTTTAGTGGAGAAGCTGAGCAAGAAATGGGAGATTAGCATTAAGAAAAGGAAAACACCAATGTTAGTTCCCTCAGAAGACATTTTATTTCACAAGGAAGCTCGCAAGCACCGAGTGAGACCAGCCATTAGACCTGAGTCTCACAAGGAGGTCCTCAAGATTGCTGCCTCGAGGAAAACTGAAGCTGGGGCCATCGGATGTGCTGCTGCCATAGTTACAAGGGAGGAAAGGCGATTGTTGCCTCCTCTTCCAACTATTAATCCTATCTTTCTTCCAATTATGAAGCACACTAGCTAGGAAGGTGATCCTAATTCCAGTCGCAAGAGTAAAGATAAAGAAGAGGCTGGCAGTGTTCCTTTGAAGGACTTGAAGGTTGTCATGCAGCCAAAGAGCTTTAGGTATGTCAATAATTGCCTGGCAGGGTGTCGATTCACTTTTAATGAGCTCGGAGAGCCACTAGCTAAGAATGAATCAGATTACGATCGAATATTGAAGCTATCTTATTATGTGAGTGTTACTTTGTCATTTTCTTACTTTCTCCTATTTATTATTTTTCGTAGTGATGATCATCTTGTCATGCAGGTTATGACTGAGTACGACGACAGGCTGCGAAAGGCTGAAAGTTATAAGGCGAAATTGAAAGAGAATAAACAACTTGTGGATGATGTTAGGAAGAATAAAAAACTTTTGACTGAGGCCGTCCAGCTTAAGGACTAAACCATGAAAAGGTTGACGAGGTGGAATGGTGAGAATGTAAGGCTCAAGAAACTGTTTGAGGTGACTAAGATATAGTTGGAGGTGGCTACCTTCGAGGTATCCAAGGTCAAGGAGGAGTTGAATGGTGCCTTACTCGAGGTTTCTAAGCTAAAGAGGAGTATCCCAACTGAGAGGAAGGCTGTCGTGCAGGAGCACTTAGGTTCCCAGGCCTTTCACCATGCCATTAGACCTCACTGCACCCGGGAGGTTTACTTTGAGAAAAGGAAATGGATGGACGTCCTTGACCGTTATGACGATGGAAGCATTATTCGAAAATACCATGAGGAGATAGATGAGTATCATCAAAAGGGTGAAACTTTCATCCTCGCAGTTGATCCTAGTAGTGAAGAGGAGTCAGATGATGATGCTAGTGTTGATGAGCAGACTCGACTGGGTGAGGATGATCTTGGAGATGCAAAAGATGGTGGTGGGGCGCAGAGTGATATTGTCAAGGGTTCGACCTCTGATGAGGATGACTAGTAGTGCCTTCATTTTCTGCATGTACTCTGGATGTACTAGTTTGTTGTTTGTATGGTATGTGTCATGTACTCTGGATGTACTAGTTTGTTGTTTATATGGCATGTGCCATGTTATAAGCCTGAGAGCTTTTTGTTTACGGATGTTTACGACTTTGCGTCGTATAATCTGATGTTAATTGCCAAGTGTTTGCACTATCATTGATGAATGTTTGGCTATGTTTGAATAGATCCCTTGTTTGGATATAAGCCATAATTTGGGTATGATTGAACGAATATACTGTGAAGCTGTTCGTTTATTTGTATAGTCTTGTTGAATAGCTTCAACAAGATATTCGTTCAATCATACCCAAATCATGGCTTATATCCAAATAAGGGATCTATTCAAACATTCATCAATGATAGTGCAAACAATTAGCAATTAACATTGGATTATACAACGCAAAGTTGTAAACATCCATAAACAAAAATCTCTCAGGCTTATAACATGGCACATGCCATACAAACTAGTACATCTAGAATACATGGCACATACCATACAAACAACAAACTAGTACATCCAGAGTGCATGCAAAAAATGAAGCCACTACTAGTCATCCTTATCAGAGGTCGAATCCCTGACAATATCACTTTGCGTCCCACCACCATCTTATGCATTTCCAAGATCATCTTCATGCTGCTGAGTCTGCTCATCAGGATTAGCGTCATCGTCAGACTCCTCTTCACTACTAGGATCGACTGCGAGGACGAAGGTTTCACCCTTTTGACGATACTCATTTATCTCCTCATGATACTTTCGAATAATGCTTCCATCGTCATAACATTCAAGGACAGCCATCCATTTCCTTTTCTCAAAGTGAACCTCCCGGGTGCAGTGAGGTCTAATGGCATGGTGAAAGGCCTGGGAACCTAAGTACTCTTGCACGGCAACCTCCCTCTCAGTTGGGATACTCCTCTTCAACTCTGAAACTTTGACCAAGGCACCATCCAACTCCTCCTTGACCTTGGATGCCTTGAGGGTAGCCACCTCCAACTGTTTCTTAGTCACCTCAAACTATTTCTTGAGCCTTACATTCTCACCATTCCACCTCGTCAACCTCTCCATGGATTGGTCCTTGAGCTAGATGGCCTCAGTCAAAAGTTTCTTATTCTTTATGGCATCATCCATAAGCTGTTTATTCTCTTTCAATTTCGCCTTAAACCTCTCGCAGTCTGTCATCGTACTAAGTCATGACCTGCATAACAAGATGATCATCACTACCTAAAAAATAATAAAGAGGAGAAAGTAAGGAAATGACAAAGTAACACTTAGTTTTTCATCACACCATCGTGAAACCTTCACAACCTCCACCATAAATAGGTAGAAACCCAAGAACCAAACACCTGCACAGTCACAGCAAAACCCATGTATTCCGCCCCATCTCCCGGTCACGGCAGCAGCGAAGGAAACACACCACAAGCACCTCACTTCCTGCAATCACAAAGCAACAGTCTGCTCAACTCCCCAAACAAACACCACCAAGGAACCAATAGAAGAACCAAAGCCGACCGAGCCCACAGCCACCGAAATCCTCACAACGCCTCCGAGCTCCACTGAAATCCCCCCTCCACAACCTCCGCCGTCTTCTCTTCCTTCCAGACGAAGAAGAGACCTCTTTAAAATGATGCCCATTTCTCCAACTCATCTACCTTCTACCGTGATCAACTTTTACGACGCCACTCTTGGTCGCCACCTCACGAGCTGACTCGTCCAAATCGGCGTCACCGACATGTTTCACTGTCCCTGGTGACTTTAACTTGACTCTGCTCAACCACCTTATCGCCGAGTTCGGGCTCACCAACATTGGCTGCTGCAACGAACTCAACGCCGTTTGGAGGGTCGAACAATTAGGGGACGAACATGATTCTTCACCACACTATTGGGTTGCCAGATTTTAGCCAAGAGCTGAGATCTTTCAGACTGTGACTTGCTATCAGGCTGTGGTGAATAATCTGGAAGATGCGCTACGGAGAAACCCCACGACAAAGAGGAGATGAGATCTTTTTCTTTTGTTATTTTATTACTTTATTATTATCATTTATGCCCCATTAACATAACAAGTCTTTGCCTAATAATATTATTATTACTATATATGTGATATCACAGTAATCATTATCATAAAACGTGGTAAAGTCTGTACATCCACTACACCATTTACATTATTTAATGATTTTATCACATGATCATTGTCAAAAAACGTGACTAAGCACATCAAACAAAGTTATGCATATATATATATATAGCTCAAAATTATTACAACTACTTTAGTGGAATGATAACTAACAAATGGAGCAGCAGCTCCTTCTTGTTTTATGCTCTCTGCATCTCTCTCTTCTCTACCAAAATTACAAGCACACTGCAAGTTTTCAAAGGGAAACCGTATCCACCCAATTTCATCTACCAAAAGAAATAAAACACCTTTACTTTTCCTTTTCAACAAACATCGTTATGATGTTTCATCACAAAACAAGGGATATCAATTTGTTGTCTTCCCTTTTTTCTTTTTGACTAACCAATAGTGTCTTTCGGCCATTTGGCCACATACTCCAACATTGCTAACACCACATACTGTATGGTCCATGCTTATCTTATATATAGAAAGCCGGAGGAAAAGTACAGCATGCGGACAAAACTTTGGTGTCACCGGCTTCGACAAAAAGAATTGAACGAAAATACCTCTCGGCCAAAAAAAATTGAAAATATGATATATGAATGCAGAAAATAATTCAAGGGTAATTTGGTAAATTTATTTTTAAATAATTTTGTCATGACTGGGAGTGCACAACAGTCCACATGCAGCCAAAATTTTGGGGTCACTGCATGGTTGGACCAAAATGCCCCTCGTCACAAAAAATACAACAAAATTGAATGTAGTAAGGGTAATTTGGTAATTTAACTATCATAAAATATAATATAAATATAAGTGTGAGGAGATAAAAGAATAAAAAAATGAAAGGGAAGAAAGAAAAGAATTAACAAATGACAAAAACATTTAAAATGTATAAATAGAGCGCTGTGATTCAAAAAATGTATTTTACACGCGATTGTTTATTAAATATTATTTTTCAATTGTTAATTAAGAGGTGCATAGTGCTGGTTATAAAAAAAATTCTCGCACGCGTATAATAATATGATTCAATTAGTTGTCAAATGATCATTTTTTCTTTATAAAAAAAGTATTTCGCACGTGGATAATAATGTGATTAAATTAATTGTCAAATGATTTTTTTTAACAAATAATATTATCTATACTAAGGGGGAGGGAGTGCGCTTAGCCTCACAATAGGCTAACAATAGTGTAATTCAATCAATTGTTTATTAAATATCATTTTCTCTATTCCTAATGTAAATTTTATACAATCCGATTTTATTATGTTAATTCAATGACTTTAATTGGTTTATGAGGGGTTTGTTCTAGCATGATGGAAAATTATTTTACTTCAAATATTCAATTTTCCTTTTTTCAATTTACATATATAAATACATTTAAAATGTGTAAGTCGCGAACGGCACGCTGTGATTCAAAAAATGTCTCCTGCACGCGGGTGAGCACATGCGTGAAGACTAGTCATTATAATAAGACTCTATCATGATTATTCCACATGACTATTCCACTAGGTGGGAAGTTTGACACATGACACATTTTTTTAGGGCACGTGGGTACGGTACACAATACAAATTTGTGTGTGTACATATATGTATATATTTGTCTGCATTCATGTTAAGATTATTATGCTATGAATGCTTCCCATATCCATAATTTAGATTTCACTAATCCTAGTCACATCACATATGTTTAAATAGGCATTTATTTGTACAATCTTAACATGCTGCCTAGTGTCATGTGACTGCCTTTAACTATGTCACTTATGCAACATGTGGTTTACCACACAACTTAATAAATTATTTATTTGTAGTAGGCACATAGTACAATATTTTGCTTGCCAAACTCTGTCAATTTGATTTATTCATTATGCGTTCATACTTATACTGTCATTTATTGTAAGGAATTATTAAGCAACTAGCTCTATTGATCAACTTTGTTGCTGATTAAAGAAACCTACCAACTTATAGACTGATGAACCATATACTTATGTTGACAAAGATTTAGTCTGAACAGTAGTCTCTTGTCTAACCGGAAACCCACTTGCTCGGACACTCGCTCATTTGGACACATGTGTGCTTAGACACCTGCGAGCCTGGGCACCTTTGAGCTCGAACCCCAACTTGTGGACCCAACTCAAAGTCCATACGTATGGCTTTGACTTAAAGACAACTTATAAACGTGATTTGCGGACCCAACACATAGATCCAATATGCGAACCCGACAAGCGGACCCGAGTCATGTTGACAGTTAACTCATAATGAGCGCATGCTGACGTTGGGTGCAAACTCGCAACGAGGAATACCACAAGTCGAGCTGTTGCCTCGCAACGAGCACCATCTCCAACCGAGCAACCGCCTTACTATGAACATTGTCTCTAACCGAGCAGCCTCGCAACGTGTGCTACCTCTAGTTGAGTATTACTTCAAGTTTAGCACCGTTTCATGTCGAGTACCGATTATGGACGACATCTAGTCATTTCAGCCTCCACATGGATTGGATTTGAAGTCTCCGACCAAAAGACTCTCTTGACAAAAGGCTTGAGGGACTCCTGTTGTACCATATATTGGACCTTAGTATTTGGGCCTCATGACCCAGCCCATGATGTAGGTAGGAGGTGAAGGAAACCCTTATTCTATAAAAGGGATCCTTCACTCTCACTTGAGGAGAGGATGATAGACATATAGCAAAGGGAAGCATAGAGGGTAGCACACAGAGAGCTCTCTTGCTTGTCCATTGTAATCCACACATTTACATAGTGAAATGGAATTGACACCAGTATTGACGTAGCCCAACTTGGGTGAACCATGATATCTCTTTGTGCTCTTATGCGTTTGTGTGATTGACTGTCGGATTTACGTTGGTATAAGATCGATCTAATTTTGTGCATCAACATTTGGCGCCGTTTGTGGGAATCACACTTATTCCTACTCTCTTCAGTTTTGTCAAGATGGTTTCCACCATTCGTACACTTTCTTTTGACCAAGCACCCCTCTCCAACATAAGGAGTAAAGGAAGCCACAACACACAGAACGACACCCTCATAGCGCCTAATGTAAGGCAATGAAAGAAGGAATGAAAAAAGTTTGCTCTTCAAGCTAAAGTCGAAGAGCTGGAGGCTCAAAACAACAAGATAACAATAAAGAATTAGGTCATGCAGGAGCAATATGAGAAGCTCTTCAAGATGCTCCATAAGGCTAGGTATACTTAAACACACAAGCTCATCACCCTTGTGAAAGTCAACCACTAACTGGGTGCCCCCAACACGGAGGGTCACTTGCCTTCGACATGGGTATTCTTAATCAGGAGCGAGCTACTCATCGAATTGTCCATCAACATGAGACTTCTCTTAACCCAGCTGATTCGACCTGAAGTATGAGAAGTAGAGGAATACATCTCCTTGCAGAAGGAGTGGAAGGATTGAAAGCCGTTTATCCCGACTATCGACACTTCCTAAAGCAACGTCGAGAAAATCCCATCCACATAAGCTCAAAGATCAATGACCCAAGGATTTCTGAAATACTCGATCCCCTCCCACGACCCAGGCCAGCTGCCAATCTAGGGAAAGAGCGACAGGTCCCAGAGGAACATGAAGGTATAGGGAACTCGGAGATATTCTAACAGACTCACCCTAGAAGTTAGTGCGGCGAGTCCAAGGAAAAATCACACACTCTAGATCAAACTTTCTTACTTCTAAGAGGCGATGGAGACTTACAGAAGAAAACTCATGTGGTACATGACTTCACTCAGGATCCCTTTGTCCTACAACTCATTGAGGAAGTAAACAAGTTGAAGGCCGAATGTTAGGCCGAGATACCAAACTGGAACCAACCCAGGCCTGGCCCTCTTACAATAAGGATCCTCGACACCCCTTCCAAGCAAAGATAAAGTAGAAGCTTGGCTTATAACTCTATACTGGAAGGGAAGACCCGATTGAACACCTTAACCTCTTTGAGTCCACCATGGCATACCAGATGCATACCGATGAAAAGCGATGTCTTATCTTCTCCTCCACCCTCTCCCGCAGAGCTCTAAACTAGTATTGCCATCTTCCACTTGAGACGGTAGACTCATTTGAGGAATTGAGGAAATTGTTTGTCTCTCAACACATCTTCCAGACCGATCACTTGCATTCTGCGAATGACTTGTACACTATTCACTAGAAGCCGGATGAGTCATTACGAAAGTATGCCGGCCACTTAAGCCATGAGTATTCTCATTGCGCTGAGGCAGATGGCAAGACTGCCCTCAAGGCCTTCACGGCAGGCATACATGACTGTTTCTTCAAGTACATGATCAATGCCAACATTTGGAAGACTTACTTTAAGGTGATGGCACAAGCTTACAACCATGCCTCCGCCGAGGCAAGGACATATCAAGGGAAACCCCCAACAACCATCCCTTATCAACAAGTGGGGAATGGAAGCCAAATCCAACCAAATGAGAAAACCTCAGCCTTCCAAAAAATTTCAAAAAATTACAAAAAAAATTTCGAGCAAGTGTTCAACTACATTAAGTGCCCTAAAAGCTTCAACGAACATGATATTGAATGAAGCCCCTGTGTTTACCAAGATTCTTTGTACATCAAAGTTGGCTATGTGCGCCTCCACGATCAGTGGGTTGTTGTGAGGGTAAATGATACCTCTTTCTTCCTCAGGGTAGAAACATATTGGATCCTAGTTAAGCTTTGATGCTTACCTCCCTTGATGTCTTCCACGTGAAACACTTGGTGGCCAGGCCTCAAAGTTCGTTCATTGTTTTTCATGGCCCTGTTGGAGGATTCAGATATGAGTGTGACGCTGCTTATGGAATATATCACATTCACTTGGCATTGGTTACGGTTATCCCTTGGAGGGTGAAGGAGGAATTGATCAATCTTCCCTTTACGTGCCGAAGCTTCAATATGATCACGGAGGGTGATACACTTCTCGCCGTCATGGCCGTTATACTCGTGGTAGCCGCAAAACATGCTGTGTTCTTAGTAAATTATTTTATCAATTCTCTCTCAGCATTATCAAGGGAAATAAGCTACTTCCCAAATAAATACTGGTTCATTGAGAAGACACAGGAGTAATCTCAAAGACTAATTTATCAGCCTTCTTTGTATATCAGGAAGGGTGGTGCCTAAAAAAGATGTAGTTGAAATCAGTCAAAGGTTTAATGTTCAAGTCAACAATTTAACTCAAGCGAGTTTCATTTTATAATTACCATCAGATCAAGGCATGTCTTAATTTTGTAATTTTTATGTTTGGATGCACTATGACTTTTGATATGCATGCACATGTTTTTTGTTTGATGATATTCCCTTTGGATATCTGCACCTTGTAATTGAATTTTATGACTTGAATTTTTTATCTTAATCAGTATTCGTTGTTGTTTTTTAGTTTTTCGTAGAAGAAAACAGTTTGAAGGTTATACATGCATAGAATAGGCAGTCCTTTTACAAACTGGGTACTGTAAAGATTCAGAGTATATGTACAGACAGAAATAATTACTTAGTAAGGACTGCAACAGATGGTAGAAACTGTTAACATCCTCACAAAGTTGATGCTTTATTTCTTTATTTTTTGGCGCCTTGGTCTTTAACTCTTTATAATTATAGAAAATTGCCAAGTATTTTCTTAAAGTTGAGAGAGATGAGGAGTGTTTTCTCATATTAACAGTGCATTGATTTAGTCTTGTTATAGGCAGAAAATTATTTAAAGAGACCTCTATATTTCACTTCTTCTGCATTCCATTGTTTGTACTTGCTGTGCTAGTAAAATTGAGAGCTTTTGTTGCGTGAACCTGTTTGAAATGCTACTCCTTTATTTTGATAAACGTTTGTGCTAAATATTGGTTTATTTAGGGGCATACTTTTGTTTTTCATCTTAACTGAGCATTCCCTTGCATTTCAAATTCTTCTAAATGAACTAACGTTGAGGAGAGTAGGTAAATTATTTGTTGTAGTGGTAAAGGTTGTGTAGGGATGCATATGCGAGTGTACCAATGCATGTATATGACATTGTTTATATGATTTCCTGTTATTTGTCTCCCTTGAAGATATTTCAGTTTTAAGTTAACCCATATTTATGACACTATTTGAAACTATTGCTAACAATTTTGTTGCTAAATATGAATTTTGGTCTGTGCTTTTCTCTCTTTCTTCTTTTTTCTTTTTTTTTATCATATTTTTCCTTATGAATTTTGGGGGTGTGCTTGTAGTTTTTACCACAAGATCGTGTCTGTGAGTTCACCAAATTAACTCCAGTGCAACTTCTTGAAGAGACTGAAAAGGCTGTAGGCGATCCTCAACTGCCGATCCAACATCGTGCACTTATTGAGCAAAGCAAGAAATTGAAAAGAGTTGAGCGAGCGGGTTTCTAATGTGTCCTTACGTCAGACAATTTTAATTAGCTTTATCATGCTACTTAGACATTTTACCTTTTTGATTTAGGCTGTTGAAAAAAATGGAGAAACTTTGAATCAGTTGAAGGCACTGAATGCTGAACAAGAGAAAGATGTTGAGCATATCCGCCAAAGAGAGGAACTTCTCGCAAAGGTTTGCCTTTTAGTTTTGTTAGATTAACTGAATCACAATGTATTTTTATGATAAATACAAGCTCTTAGTAAAAAAATTTATAACACATACACAATAAAGTGCACTAGATATCCATTTAGAGCTAGTACACGTACTCAAACACTATCAGATTCACCATCCATGAAACAGCACAGAACATCACAAACCAAAGCATCTGAAGGAAAACACTGAAAGATAAATGTGATTCATTCCTATTTCCTACCTACCCCATCAGGCCATACTAGAAGGAAAGTTAGATCCTGAATGCAGGTGAAACTGAACCCCATACAGCAACAACGAGAATCTGACTTTATCGCGTAAGTTCTACTCCCATCTCCCTTGTAGTTCTCGAGAAAGAAAAAAAAAAAAAAAAACTGAACTCCATCTGACTCTATAAATCGCCTCCCCACCCTCAAAGAGAAAAAAGCCCTTCTGCTTCACAATTAAGCTGGAATTAAAATTTCTTTCTTGATGTCATCTACAGGCAGAGACCATGAAAAAAAAATTGCCATGGCTAAAGTATGATATGAAGAAGGCTGAATGTATGGAAGCTATGGAGCAGGAAAAAGATGCAAAGAAGAAGTTGGAGAAAGCTGCAAGAACTCTAAATCAACTGAAAGAACCTATTTAGTATGATTCATTGAGTTGATATATTCGTGCATACTATATTGACATGAGACATACAGTCCATTTATTGCTGACAGTGCTTTTATTTTACGTCTGGTGCACTACTCTTTTACCTGCTGAAGTAAACAAAAACAAGAGAGAGTTGTGACAGAGTCTAAGAGTACAAAAGTTGTAAAAAAACATTAGTGAAAATGCAAACACACGAATGAAACTTATGGAAAATGTGAACCGCTTGGTATGATAATGTGGTACTCTATTCTCTTAATGTGATTTTAGCCTTCTCTAGTATGTAGTGTGGATAACTGAGTTTTTCTTGTGCTTCAATTTCATCCACATGTTTATAGGGAGTGTTAATAAAAGAAAGTACAATGAAATGGAAGATTTGAAGAAGCAAGAAGAAACTCGTCAACAAGGGATCTTAAAAGCAAAAGAGGATCTAGCTGCTGCTGAGCTAGAACTTGAAAATCTGACTCCTTATGAACCCCCTACAGATGAAATTGTAAGTTATGGATTCAGTCTTAAAATGTCAGGATCTACGGGCAGTCCCTGGTATGATTAACATAAATGGATCAAATTTTTACCTATTAACATGAATGAAACTAGTTCTGTGTGAACCAGTTTTAAGAATTTATGGTTCCCATGCCAACATTTTCCAATCAACTTTTGTTCCTTTATTAGACTTTTGATTCGTTTGCCTGCCTAGAAACAGTTTAGCAGACTGCTTATTAGACTTTTCAATCAAATATGTACCTAGTTTCTGGTTTTGTTTTCCTATGAACAGTGTAGCACAATTATTTATTTTAATTATTATTATGAAGTTTTGAATCTGTAAACTAACATATTTCATTATTTTTGCAAACGATTGATAATGCTCTCTGGGTGCATACTCAGGTTAATGTGTCGGATCGAGTTCACGCTGGCTTTAGGTGTTCATGTTCCTTATTACATATGGAATGTAATTACTGGTTTTGAACATGCTTAAATGCAAGATATTTTGCAAAACTTTGTTGAGATTTTTTAATGCTTGGATTTTTATTCCATAAAAATTGTGAGAAGAAAGATATTACGATAGACAAAAAACTATGTTCAACAAGTTTGGATGGTTTAAATTATAGAATTATTTTGTTTGATGGTAGACAGTTTCAAATCCCGCAGCAAAATGCAGGCATTCCTACTAGTTCCTACCTATTCCTACATAACGTTTGATATTTCAAGCCTCGTGATGTTAGGAATAGGTGAAGCGAACATTCTGCAGTCACAATACCGTCACTAAGGCACTTCTCTCCACGCCTCCAAACGAGACCGAACCTGGTCTTTGCCCGAGTAGTAGCTGTACCTTCTCTCGAGCCATCATTCTCCATGATAGCATGTTCCCGACGTCCAATAACTCTGAAACCAGCACGGTAAATTACTGGTGTCGTCTGCCATGGGGTAGAACACTCATTAGTCTTGGAGGGCGACAGTTAGCTTTTCTGTCCGTTTAGCTGTTAATTTTTATGGCTTAAACTTATCTAGGAAGGAGAAATTATTCATTTCAAATGATGTCTGGCTCCAGCAGACATTGTTTTCTGGTTAAACAACCACTTTGTCCCGACCGAGATTAACCCAGATCAGCGGCTCGATACCTGGCATACATCGCCTATACTATGTAAAATTTCTCTCATTCATAAACAAGAAACCAAAGTGATGAGTGGATAATATCGATCACAAAATTAGTACATGGTCTTTCTCACTCGCTGTAGATGAGATTCGTGTGCTCTTTTATGGGACAGTCTCAACCAAGATACCATGGTATCAAGGTCACCCTCCGCCTTCATCCCCTTACTCTCTCCTACAGTCTTTACCAGCTACATTGGCAAAGATTCGACAGTGGCACCTAAGAGGCTGAATGAACAATTTAAAGACATGTACAGGTGGTTAGTGTTCTTCAAGCATTTGTTGCAAGCTTGAAATCGAGCATCTCCCTTATATTTAACCGGATGGAAGGCCCCATCGACGAGCATATGTGTGCACTCTTCCAGTAAACACCTTTTGCACCTGGTGGCTTATTTGCTTCTACCGATTTCTGCCAGGCAAAATATAAGAAAATGAATTTCATGACCTAGTGGATAGAATTCAGACAGCAATTAAAATTAGAAAGCAAGGAGAAGTGAAGAACATACAACTGCTGCAAGCAAGTTTATGAGAAGGTCTTCTTCAGAAAAGTCAGCTTTTCCAAAACGCAAATGAACTATACCAGTTTTATCTGCTCTATATTCAACTTTACCCTGCTTGAATTCTGCTATGGCCTGAAACAGAGAATACAAGCAAATCCATTTTAATCAGTATCCTAAGAAATCAAAATCCTTGTGAAGTTGTCCTGCCACATGTAAATCCATTCCTAAACAACCATAGATGATCCTTTGGTTGTTCCTACTATATTTCTTTTCAATCTCCCTCACCGTATTTATTGTGCCAAATTCATTAAATTCCTATCGAGAATTTGGATCATTTCCTGTGTGTGAGTGTCAGCCTAAGTTTTTTCTTAATGACTTCCGTCAATTTCATTGTTCTTACTGTGTCAGATATATATAAATGTGTATATGCATACAATGAGACATGCGGAAAGAACTAAAACAGAAGCTAGGATTTAGGCTAAGAAAGCATATCCAAAGAAGTGCAGAAAGGAAACAAAACATCACAATCCAAGCCATACCTGTGGAATATTAGGCGTGACAGTACCAGCTTTCGGGTTTGGCATGAGCCCTCGTGGTCCTAGAATCTTTCCTAGGCTAGCAACCTGAGACAAGTAGCAAAGACAATAAAATGAAAACTTAATGGAGAACATGGATAAATTGTGAATTTACTCTTGACTTTGTGTGCCGACCCCACTTAGTGGGATAAGGCTTTGTTGTTGTTGCTGCAGTTGTTACTCTTTTACTTTGTGTTAAAGAAAGATACCTCATAATATGATGTAAGAGGTGAAAGTTAAGCACTTCTATGAAAGCCAGCTGGTAGAATCATAAAAGCAGACCGGACCAGCCAGTCTAACATGAGTCACTTTTTCACTCCATGTATGAACAAACACTGAGGAAAACAGGGCAGCACCTATTGTTCTTTTTCTTTCTTAGCTGTATTTATTTAGTTATGTGGAGCGGGATCTCAATATAAGATGCATACTGATGCAATTTGTTTGTTCTTAATTTCACTTATGAATAACATGAACTTTATCACTATCAACCAAATAATATACACAAGCACCTCATCATGCACATCAAGTTTTAGAGTCAAACTATTATGAAGCTGACTAGTTTATTTTTCTGCTGCAAAACTAGTTTTCTCATTTCAATCACAGGAGCCTAGCATTTCAACCATATACTCTAATTTTGATGACCAAAAACCAAACCAATAACATAGCATTTAGGTTTACCCTTATCGAGATGCTCTGTAAAAATGAAAATGATTTACATACTTCGTTGTCAAACAGACAGTTGAGGCACATCACTTATTTTGATTAAAAAAGATAATGAAGGCAACACCTTAGGCATCATATCCGGTGAAGCAATTAGCTTGTCAAATTCCATGAACCCTTCCCTTATCTGTTGTATCAAATCATCTCCACCAACCAAATCTGCTCCAGCATTTTTCGCTTCATCAAACCTTTCACCTGCAGATATTAAAGAAGATAACCCTGTGAACATGAGATAGATGAAACCAAAAACGTTAAATAATTTGTGCACAAATAGATGCTTGAGATATAAAATGAGCTCAAGCATAAAGAACATCAACTTTTTGCAAATTATGAATGGGGAAACATGAGAGCCAGAAAAATTAAGATTTTTGGAAAAGTAGAAGACAGATACAATCTTGATATTATTCAAACAAAGTACAGGAAATGCCTAATGAGATCAACCGGTAAACTCCTACTAATAATGAAATACCTAAGGTGCAAATTATCAGATATAGCACATATTTTCACTAACTTCCGAGAAAGCATATATCTGCATGTATAAGCTAAAGTAAGACAGTGCAACATCTCCAACACCCTAAGCAATTAAATACCCTAAAAATTAAAACAACACACTCCAATCAGGACTACTTCCATTTATTCTTTAAAAAAAAAAAAAAAGTTAAGAAAAACCTTACAATTACTAAAAACTATATAAACCTCCTTTGGACTTAAATGACTTAGAGATCGCCGTTTCATCAGGAAGAAGAAAGTATAGGAAAATTTAAACTCAAAAAAGAAAGTAACTATACCTTACATGAAAAACTATTAAGACTACATACAAGAGAAATGGTAATGATCCAATCCAATTTGAAGTTCAATAAGGAGTATAATACACTAACTAGAAATTGGCAGGTACAGAAAATTCACCAAGAGTAGAGGAACAACGTCTCATCAACCATTTCAAGACCATTTCATGGAAGAAATGAGAATACTATACTAAAACCCTCCAACTAATTCATTTGTAAAATGGCCCCTTGGCAGAAAATAAAAAACACTTAGAGATGCCTAGATTCAGCCAAGAAAGTATTTCTTCTGTTCTTATCAACCAAGGTAGTAGCATAAAGAGCACAAAACACCACTCAGTAAAGGTGTTACTTGTTTTCGCCTTTTACGCTTAACTGACAAAACAATTACCTATAGAGAATTCAAATAACATATTTTCAGAATAATGGACACCTACCTAATACATGCTAATGCGGAAATTGCCTGCATAGTTATGCTCCTGTACTTTTTATTCTCTAGGTTGAAATCTTCAACTTGTATCCACTAGGTTCAAATACGTGGATTACTTTATACATCTCCTTAGCTCATACTGAATGACAGATATAATTACTCTTTCTCCACTAAGGACGGTAGTGCTAAGGTGAGAAATTGAGAATCGTAACTACCTTGAGTAAGAACAGCCACTCTAACAGTCTGTCCAGTTCCCTTGGGCAGGTTTACCTAGTAGAAGAATTCCACAATAAATGAAAGGATATTAATATAGTGCTAATCATTGATAACTAAACATACCTCTGACAAACAAGATCAGAAAACTCACAGTTGCTCTTAGCTGTTGGTCGTTATATTTTGGGTCAATATTGAGGCGGAAATGGGCTTCAGCAGTTTCTACAAATTTCGTATTCGTCATTTCTTTCAGTAAAGCAATGGCAGGCTGCAGCGCATACTCTTTTTTGGTTTCCTTCAATTTCTGAATTTCCAAGAATCTTTTGGACCTTGTCTGACAATTACAAAAGAAGACAACCGAGCACTTGAATCACTACCTATATCTTGGAAGAACTTAAAAATAGGACATTGCAGGATTATATCTAACAACATAAATGATAAACATAAAAATAAACTAGAACCGGATTATCAATCGCAACTTCAGAGTATTCTCCATCTTTATAATTATGCAAAACCATGAGAAAACTATCAACTAAAAGGATGTAAATATCAAATTTCGCAGAACTAGTCTCTGCTCCAAGATAACGAAATGACCTTAATTACTCAAATCAATCCTTAATTTTTAGAATTTAAATTAGCATAACAAACAAGTATTTGCTAAATTAACCGATGTTCATCAAACTAAAAACTAAATGTAAGAACAACACATGAAATTTGAATCCCAAAACCGTAATCAAAACCAAAAACAAGCAAAACCCACCAACGAGGCAACCCAAATAATCAAATTTTACCCCCAAAACAATGAAAAATCCGAACTTGCAGAAGAAAAACCAGAAAAAGACTCACTCTGTCTCTCTTCAAAAGCAATGCAGCCTTCCCTTTCTTGGGCTTTGAAGAAACAGCAACAGCAGCAGAGCCATCACCTCCTTTCACTTCTTCGCTCTCATCCACATCATCAGCTACCTCTGCCTCCGCCGTAAGAGCCGCCGTGGGCACTCGGTGAGGCTCGGAATTGGCCCATTTGCTTGGTTTGATCTCGCGAGGCCTCAGAGCCAGCGGGCAGAGGCAGAAGGTTTTGAAGAGCGGCTTGGGCTGGAAGGAGACGAGGGAGGGAG